AATGATTAAAATTTTGTCCAAAGAGTGATGCACTTTTTGCCCTTGTGTGAGTCATCGTGAACCAGTTTAGACCGGAAAAAAGAGCTTATCAGTGTCCGCTCTTCTACTTGCGCTGACGGTAAGAAAGTGTCACTATTTTGACAATATGACCCATTCCTTTTTCTGAGTGAACGACGAGCGTCAGAATTTAGGTGACGTAGGCCGCCTGCATTTCACAACGATGACACAAACGACGGAACCGGAAATGCGCCGCGCGTTTTACTGCGGACCAAGGAAGGTAGCCAGCTAGTAGTTGGAGAAAACGGCCAAAGCAGCTTACAAAAAATGACAAAAAAAAAAACAGACATAATTCAATGTTTATCGGGAACTTTGCAATTTGTTTTGCAACTATTCAATTTTAATCTTGAAATTGCACGAAAATCTTGAAAATTGCTTGAAATTTAAGGCCAACATGCGTTATAGCCAGCCAATTCAAATAGAAAAAGGCAGAAATCTGCGAATTTGGCCGAAAAAAGGCACACCTGGCAACCTTGGTCCGGACAGCGGAGCACCACGACCGACTAGGACGAGGCCACACCTATTCGTCTTTGCGTCGACGCCATTTCCGGGAAACGCGATGCAGAAAGTTTTCCAAGAAATCTAAACTGAAAGGATCTTGTACTTAAATGGAAACTATGATTATGGTCATATTTCCAAAACATTCGATGATGACAAATTTCCGAGAAATAGAAATTGAAGAGATCTATCGTATACTACTAAAATGGATGCTATGTTTCTGGTCATATTTCCAAGACATGCGATGTCCACAGATGTTCCGAGAAATCGGAATTTAGAAGATTTTAAATGGATATTGGCGCAATGGCAAGATTTCCTAAACATGAATGCGGCCAGCCGCGAGCGTTCCGAAAGAAATGAAGCCAATAGAAATCGAAATTAGTCAAGTAGGTATAGAAAATTACCGGGGTTATTTTTCAACGAACTTTTGTACTGACAACGAAGTTTATGTTGTGAATAAAATTAAGCCTGACGACCACCGTTCCTCCAACAAGTTTACACGTGGCTGTTATTTACGAGTTTGATGTAAGACTTAATAGCGTTCATGATTCAACAACTACCTATGGATTATAACTGGTCGGACATTTACATGATGGATATTTACCAGCAAACTTCCACCACACTAGTAGGATCTAAGTGCTAGGCATTATCGTGTTTTATATCGAGCCTCTGAAGGGCTCCCACAGAGTTTGCTAACGACAGCCATAGATTACATCTCGCCACCAATTCTTCTTGCTCAAGACTTGGACGCATGAAGAATATGGGTGTCAAAAAAAAATAATAACCTGTGTTCAGGACTTTATACTTCAGAATGTCGTCTCAAGAAAAATAAATACGAAATTGATGACTCATAACTCCGGCATGCACTATTATCAAAATTCAGGTCTCAGTGAAGCAAGAAGAGACATGTTCGTTCAGCATGCTGTTCGCATCGACCGCTCGCACAATCAATTTCCACACTGGTACGCTAAGATGATATACAGGCAACACTAGATGAGACTGGATTCTATGATACGGTGAGTATCATCCCATCGTAGGTGCAGTTGAACTGTTGAAGGTAGTTAGCTTTTTTAAAATAAAGTTAAATAAAAATGAAAATGCGTGCTTTATATATAAGTTTAGTCTTGAAATGCCTCGTATCATACGGAACAACTGAAATCTAGAAACGATTTTAAACCTACCGTCCGTTGAAAAGATTTGATCAAAAGGCCAGTCTAGTCAAGAAAAATACTAGAATCGGCGACAGGCCTATCTAGGCCTATTCTTCAATGCCGAAGATAATATACTATACTATACGTGCGGCTAAGTTTCAAACAATATTGCCACAACAGCTTGAGTGCGGCCAGCGGCTGGCGTGTTGAGTAACAAATCTGTCTGTAATGCGATTGGATCGATGGTTTGGCTTGAAACGTTATCAGGTATTGGCTCCCGGCTTACCACTTCGTGATTTTTTCGATAATCCGAACCGTGGATAATTAGGCGAAGCTTTTAGCACCTCGCATTGCCTTGCCGGTCAGTGTCACCCACGTACAGCACGCAAGTTGGTAACCACTGCACGCGTTAGGTGGTCGCACCATCACCAAAACCGTCGTGTCCTTGACACAGCTGAAGCTTACACAAGTACTTATTGTTCATCTTTGGAAAACTTTCCTACAGATTCCTGCGCCTTTGATTACTTATTCAAATTTATGCTAAAAGCCGCATGAAAAAGCTTCCGAATCAAGCAATGTCAGCAGAGCTTCTTTTATTTTTTTTTCGACAGCTTGTATACTATAGTGAATTTATAGTGTAATGGCAGTAGAATTTGATTGTTAAAAACAAACATAAAAATATGGGAAGAATGAAGAAAGTAATGATCACTCATTAATTGACAGAACTTTTAAAGTCTTAAACTTAAAAATTTAATTAAAGAACCTCATAAATTTTAATGCTCATAAATCACAATTAAACAATAGAGCCTAAAACTTGAGCATAAGAATCAAGTTAAAATATATTGAATAAAAACAATGAGATAAAAGTCTTATATAAAACAATATCAACCCCAAATTCTTTACATAGAAAATTTTTAATAAACTAAACCGACAATTTTTCAGAAAAAAATATCAGCCCAGAATTCGATACACTTGAGATTTATCACCAAGTGGAGGCAGGCGCCAGAGCCCAGACAGACGTTGCCTTCTGCCGGCTTCCTATTCCTCTGATTAGAGGCAGACAGGCGAATGGCAACATCCAACAAGATACAGAAATGAAATTGCCATGGCTCAGCCACGTGTTTGCTTGGTCCAATCGAGGCCGAAAAAATATTATTAGATGAATATAGATTAAACTCTTAAATCCATCAATGTAAATATCTCACAATCAGTCCATAAATCGTGTAGAGAGAATAAAAAGTAACATGATCCAAGAAAAAAACCGGTGTAGGCAGTCGCATCACACGAGCATGAGGCATGAGCTCAGGCCAGGGTAAGCCGGGAGCGGTGAAGTAAAATTGCTTCAACAAAAGAATTTAGCTTGTTAGTATATCTTACCTTGAAATTCTACGTAGATCACAATTCGAAGTTTTGCCATCTTTACGCACGAACCAAACCTCCAAAAGTTTTTCGACACCTTCAAAGAAATCATTTTCTGAATTGACCATCTCGGCTAAGCTCTTGGACATATCACTAAGATCACTTCTATAACCACCGTCAGCGACCGCCAGCGCTCAACTGAGTTCGAGACTTCGAGCCTTGAGGCCGGAACGAGACAGCAGGTGCTGCCGCAGCTGTCGCTGCAGCTGGTAATAGTTGCCAGACACATGTATGTAAACGTTCCTAACGTTCTATCTTTTCGAACATTTTATAACAATAATCTGTTTTGCCCTCTGGCTCCCCAATCCAATGTAGAAACTAAACAATGATTTTCATCTAGATTTGTGACATAGGGCAAAAAGAATTTTAATCAAAGTATCTATGTTCATAGATACAATTGAACGACATATTCACCTTTCTACTGACATAACCATGTTTCATTCTCTAACAGCTACTTTAAATAAAAATACGAGTTTCTTTCAAAGGCTTTAGATGACAGNAATATAGGAACTCGAGTCTGCAATAATTCAGCGGGGTCTTCTTCGTGATTTAATATAAGAGTTCATGAATGACGAACACTCGTGAATGACAAAGCCTCATGAATGACAGCACCTCATACACGGGATGATCGGTGCAATGCGGCACATGGCACAGCATTGATCTTGCTGGGAGAGTGGGAGGGTGTGGTGGAGGTGGAGGGGGATGAGTAGGGGGAGAACGAAAGGTGGAGGTGGTGGATAAGACGCTGGGTGGGGGATCACACATATCCGTTACTCAATGGTCGTTCATTCACAATAGGAAAGAATAAAAATTTAAAATGCACTGAACTATTCGGTATTTCCTAGAAAAAATGCAATTTTTCAACGCAAGGTAGCTACAGAAAAATCATGCATGTGCAGTTTTGGAAAATCTTTTCGTGCGATCGCAAGTGCAGCACACGACTCGAAGGAAGCACTCGGAAAAATGACCGGTTCGCATTGTCCCGATGACACGCTTTCTTAGCTACAAGTACGAGTAGCACCTTCGAGTGCGTCATTCATACAAAATTGACTATAAATACAGGCGCAATGAATGAAAATGACTATAAATACAGACGCGATGAATACAGCACAGCGACCATGCGGGGATATTCCATCGTTGAACTTTAGGAACAGCTAACCGCTTTACATTATTTGCGCGATTTTCCTGTAATTTTCGTACATCTTTATAGGACATATTTCAGCGCGAGTTCCGGTATGAGGAGACGCGAGCAGCTTTACTGTATTGCCGCATTTTCCAACAATCAAATTCCGACCATCAACGCAGACTCGTGAGGTACAATGCAATTCAAGTCACACAACGTCACGCAACAAGTAATACATAGAGTAATACATCAGTCACATATCAAGTCACGCAACAAGACACGCATGAAGTCAATCATCAGGTCACACAGCAAGTCACGCATCAAATCACACATCAAGTCACACATCAAGTCACACATCAAGTCACACATCAAGTCACACAACAAGACACGCAACAAGACACGCAACAAGACACGCATCAAGTCACACAGCAAGCCGCACATCAAGTCACACAACAAGTCACGCAACAAGTCACGCAACAAGTCACACAACAAGTCACACAACAAGTCACGCAACAAGTCACACAAGTCACACATCAAGTCACGCAACAAACCACGCATCAAGTCACACAACAAATCACAAAACAAGTCACGCATCAAGTCACACACCAAGTCACACATCAAGTCACACATCAAGTCACACATCAAGTCACACATCAAGTCACACTGACACATCGTCAAGTTACACATCAAGTCACACATCAAGTCACACTGACACATCGTCAAGTCCCACATCAAGTCACACATCAAGTCACCTGAGCACGTAGGCGTCCATGTCGTCCGACGATGTTTTAGAGATGATCTCGCACTTGACAACATCCATCAGCTGCTGCAGTTGGTCCCTGAAAAATTATTTTACAAATTATTAACTGTAAGTATGAATTATTAACATAATATTATACAATGTATACTGCAGTTTACCAATAAACTTTATTATCATAATTAAGGTTGCCTAAAATCGGCCGAATCCGAGAACTAAAAAGGCCGATAACTCAATATATACTAGTTTATTTGTAGGTTCCGCTATAAAAATTCCATTTAGTTTCTTTTGGCAGTATTTAAAATTCAATTAGGAAGTACCCTTATCGTAAATTTTAGCCGGCCAACGCAATTGAGAAGAACTAAATCACGGAATTTGTCCGGAAAAATTACCGTCTGGCAACCCTGTTTAAAAACAGTACAAAAAATGAAATAATAGTACAAGATGAAGTAATCGTAGTCAACGTGTTGAGTTGCATGACGAATGTAACTGGAGATTTAACTATTTTTAGCGCATTTTCTCATTTATGAAAAAAATGCACTATTGTGCTCGCCATGTCCGTCTGTCCGTCCGTCCGTGACTTCATGTTTTCGTCGACGATAAAATGCGCTCTCTGTCACTCACAGCAGTGAGTACTGACTTATATTTTTTGTGTTGAAGTTGCGTGACGATTGTAAGTGGCAAAACTACGCTTCCATATTTAAGTTGTGGTATGAATACAAGCGGCAATATAACGCTTCTGTGTTTGAGTTGCGTGACGAATATAACTGGCGATATAACGATTTTGTGTGCGTGACGAATATAACTGGCGATATAACGCTTCTGTGTTTGAGTTGCGTGACGAATATAACTGGCGATATAGCGCTTTTGTAATTAAGTTGTGTGAGGAATATAACTGGTGACACAACTCTTATGTTATACAGGCGCGTTTCCCACGCACGATATCAGCAGACGCGCGCGACATGCTACGAGGACCCCAACACAAGCCCCTGCCGCTCCAAGCACCACAGGTGGGCCAAAACCAGACCCCGTAAGGCAACTAAGATCATCCATGTGGAACAGACAAAACAGAAGTTAGAAAACAAACAAACAAACAAAAAAATAATAATAATAATAAATAAAAAAAAATATATATATAGCAAGACAAAAAATAAATAAAGTAGAAGAGCAAGAAAAGAAAAAATAAATAAACAAAATAAAAATAAAATAAAGAAAAAATAAAAATAACAAGGCGGACCGGCAAACCTCTGAGGGAGAAAGCCAGTCGGGTTTAAGTTAATGAGTAAACAAATCAAATAATTAAGGTTTTGAATACTTATAACTTATAAGAAACTTTGAGTCACAAATTTACCGGTTACTTTAGACGTTTAGAGATCGCAATTCACACACGTGCTACCACGGCAAACGCAACTGACTTTCTCCTGAGGCCGGAACGAGACAGCAGGTGCTGCCGCAGCTGTCGCTGCAGCTGGTAATAGTTGCCAGACACATGTATGTAAACGTTCATAACGTTCTATCTTTTCGAACATTTTATAACAATAATCTGTTTTGCCCTCTGGCCCCCCAATCCAATGTAGAAACTAAACAATGATTTTCATTTAGATTTGTGACATAGGGCAAAAAGAATTTTAATCAAAGTATCTATGTTCATAGATACAATTGAACGACATATTCACCTTTCTACTGACATAACCATGTTTCATTCTCTAACAGCTACTTTAAATAAAAATACGAGTTTCTTTCAAAGGCTTTAGATGACAGATCAAATGATACGATCAAAATGACAGATCAAAAGATCCAATCAAATGATACGAGTTTAGATCTATGAACAAGGCACGAAAAGGAAAAGAATCGGCGACAGGCCACATCAGGCCTACATTTCAGCGCCGACATCATTATGTTATGTTATGTTATGACTTTCTGTTTTTATCACACACAGTGAACCATGGTTGAACATCCCAAACATTCCTCAGCAAACTGAAGTTTACGTGCCAAAATTTTGCTTCGGTAGATCAACAGCAATGGTTGCACCGTATTTTACCCGCACATGTCTACTTCGTTATGTTCATGGTTGAACTCGCACTGTATTAGTTCTAACATGGCTACGTTAACCCTGAAGGCATCTCTGATGTGACGTAATGTCCATAATATATATTTTTTAAATTACATATATCATATATGACGATGGTGCCCATTTACGCTTCTGCCGGGTAACTACGTCTCGGACAAATTTACGGCCGATCTCGCGGCCGGACTCCAGATTAATATGTGTACCAAGTTTCATCGGGCTACGTTCAGTACTTTGGGAGATATTCCAGGTACACTGAATCTGGAGTCCGGCCGCGAGACTGGCCGCGGATCCGGCCGTAAATTTGTCCGAGACGTCTGGTAACTTTGTTATAACATTTATCCACTGTGTTGTAGAGTTACTGGACTTAACGGTTTTGCCGATAACTTTGTACAATTTGGAAAACTTGGTAATGATTTCGAAGGTGTATTCCTCACTAAGCTATAAACAAAAAAGTTTTCGTTTAATATTTATCAAATTTTGTATTAAGTTATTATAAATCTTTCAATTCTTTCACAGTAAATGAAATTTACATGAATATTAATTTAGTTTAATGTCATATATTTAGCGAGACACACTCGCGCGCCGATATAGATTATCAAATTATAATAATTACAAGAATCCATGAAATACCAGTTAAACGACAATTTCGCGTTAAATAATAATGGACCGTGATCACCAATTTTATATCAATTGCTATTACTAATGTTATAGGTAACATGACGGTGGATTGTTTGTTGTTTTAAAATAAATCGTGATGAGGTTAATAAAATTGTCGTACTGGTGCAAAGATACAAGTTTGATTAATGGTTTCTAAGATTTTTTATTTATAGCAGAATCACAAACTGTATTGTCTATTTTAACTTGAAAATTGATTCTCTGTGAATTTATGTGAAAATATTCCACACATATCATCTCTGGTCCTAACAAACTAATTTCATATGGTTCATGAATTTTCCTATCCAGTCGTCTTCAGATACATTGTTTTCATGGACTTAGACTAGGCCTACTAGTCGAATTTCAAGTTATCTATTATCGTGTAAACAATGGGAGTAAATAGCTTCAACTGGGAAGCCCATGGCAGTCTTAAAAACACAACGGCCGTGTGTACAGAGTTACCGATAACAATTTGTTTCGAATCACGTGGTTATTTATTAGGAAATATTATCTCTCATACGTATAAATATGTTATCCACGATTGTAGCTAAAATTACTTTGAAATGCTTAATTCAGTTTATGTTTCCTTTAAAAAACTTGCTTCTTGTGAAGTTGAAATTAGATTTCAACTTCAACTTTAGCCTGAGTTGAAGGAGTTAACTTATGGGTGATACTCTTATTTGCGAATTATTTAAGGTAATTTGCTTCAGTGGTTTATGGTGGGAGAATTATAATTAATTGATATACTCAGTTAAACAATGTGAGCTCCTCTTTACAAAGAATTTAAACGATTCACATGTATACGAATAATACGAATAACAAAAAAACTTCATGTATAATACAAGTAAGTGTAGATTGCCCCATAACACAAATAATTATAATTTTTCGTAAAACACAGATAATTGTAAGTTAACATAAAACACAAGTTAGAATAAGTTTATGCATAACGCAAATAAATACTTGCAAGTGATTGTAAGTTTACGTTTACCAAGGTAGCACCGTAGCACGTGCAAAGTGGAGGGTTCTGTACAACAAAAGTAGAGACAATTTTATGCATAATCTAAGAAACTGCAAGTCTACACATAAGACATGTATATGAAAGTTTAAGGAGATCGAAACTACGTATTAGTTTGGTGGCAAGTGTAAGGTTACGTGTAATAAAATTGGTCGTAAGGTTGTGTTGAACACGGAAAGTGCAAGTATATGTATAACGCAAGTATATTTTAGTTTGGGGTGAACACGATTAAGTGCAAATTACTTTAAACAAGTTGCTTATGTTAGTTCATATAACACAAGTATGAGTAGGTTTATGTATAAAACAAGTAAATTTTACGTAAAACCAAAGTAACCATTGCCAGCAATAGCCTGAATTAAAGTTCTCATTCATGTTGGTTTTAGATTAAACCTAATTCGATTGAGGCATATTGTAACTATTTTGCACAAAAATTTCCTGAGTTAGCATCGTAATCAACATTTCAATTTTTGTAATATATAGGTATCGAATCCAATCTATGTCCATGTTCCAATATTGTCGACTGTTATCAATCTAACATTTCAATGATAATTAAACATACAAGACAATGAAAGGAGAATGTTTTTCCGAATTAATATTTACTTTTTAAAATTTTTGTGTTTTCTTTGTTAAGTAAATTATTGCACCGGGTTAGAGGAGTTTTCTAAAACGCTTTGTACACTAAACGTAATCCGCGCGCCTGCAGCCAATGATCAATTGTTGTTCTTAGTGATTTGTGATATTGTCATAAGATTATAGGAACCTAAGTTAAAGCGGTAGTTAAAGTTTATTCACTGATTTACAGTGCGTTTTATCATATTTGTTTTCCTTGACGTTCTGGCGGACCTGGTGGTTGTGGCTGAACACTTTAGACGTCTACTCTGAGGTTAGTTTTATACAACTAAGTTATGGGCTTTAAATAGTTAGGCCTAATGACTTCGTTCTAGAACTGTGCATGCTCTCGTACAAGCTTGAGCCTGTTCCTCGTTTTCTTTCATTTTTGTTATTTTTTCACCGAGACCGAAAGACCTAATTAATAACATCTGGATTACCTAAGCGTAAGCGGCCAAGCCTGCTGAAGTTGAAATTATTTTTTCACCTTTCATAGTTTTAACGCCCAATTAATGTTTAATTATGCTGTTTCGGTAAGAAGTAGTTTTCCTAGGCTTGTTTTTAATATGCTGTTTCGATAAGAAGTAGTCAGGCTACCTATATTGTTTTATAAATTGAGAATACAATATACCTATCTTACCACATTACATTACAGTAGGTTCCTTAGATTTGCCTTCAGTTTTGTCTTTAGAATTTGCTGTTTGGCCATGAGATGAAATTTCAATGGGAATCATGTTACTCATGTAATTTTACTCATGAAAAACAAGATTGAAGCTAAAAAAATTTAATTCAATGAACTATGAAGTATGAACATGAACATAATTTAAGAAGAAAAGCAATGCATCATGCATTAATCAATTTAATGATCTTGATTTCTTCATGTCTGCTTTGTCTCAAAAATTGCCTCATTTGTCTGTTATCTTAATTCAGGAGTGGACTGTGGAATATAATATATTATAATATTGCCTTCACTATGATTATGTGCAGTGGCTACCTACTGTTTATTAACTAACCAAATGGCAACTCAGTAAGTCACTGCATTTACTTTCGTCACAACTATGATTAGTACTTTGGTAGGTTTCCCATTAGGCTATTTGGCAGAAGCTATTTGAGAATGAGACAAAAATGCCAGTGCTTCTTGTCAATTTTGCTATTTACTGTTGAATTTTTTCTTAGAAGTAGGCTGGTCTTCACACTTATGAAATTATTGTAATTTAATTATTTAATTTGTTGAAAGGTAATAATTTTCTGATTTGCAATAAATATTTTTTCTGTCATTGAATTTGAAGCAAGAACCAACACCATGGACCATGGCTATAAACTAAAAAACCTGCGTTGTAACACATCCATGCAATAACATTTCTTTTTGCCTCCCTGATAGCATCATTGATGCTCCGAGTATGAAAACCTTCAAGAACAAACTAGATGAAGCTATGCAGGAGCATATGTTCAGTCTTAAAATGCCTTGCAAGTTACTGACCAGGAAATAAGTGCAGCAGCTATCTCAATCAATTGTCAGATGGAAAGATCAGGTTCCAAAGGCCGGACCTTTGTGAATCAAGTCATGAAAAGTTCAAGAAGTGGCTTTTGTCAATGCCAACACTTCTATTCTATTCTAATTGATAATAATTTACTTGTGTTAGCTTTGATTAGGCAATCTTGGCCTGTTGCTAAATCTCAACAAGCCATGACCCATCCATCCTTGGGCATCTTGAGTGGTTAATTGAGCAGAAGCCACCCATGAATCAGACAAAAATGTAATTAATCTGGTCAATTTCCTGTTTCAATGGTCTTTTTCCAAATTCATTAGTAAAAAATGAGAAAAGTAGTTATAATTGCCCAGTTGTTTTGAAAATCCCGCATGAAGTGCTTGTTTTTAAACAATATTATTGAAAACTACCCAATATTTCAAATTTGCCATGCACCTTGCCATTTTGGCCAAAAGTTTCACAACTAGCTGCCAGTTTCAAATGTCTGACATGCTATTTTAATTTTGCTGCTCCTACCCACTTGGCCACTCTGACTCATTGAGCATGCAGCAAAATTATGTTTCCATATTTTCAGGAAGCAAACAAGTATGGCTGAGGGTCGTCCTAGATTATCTCTCCTTCCTGACCAGCACATAGTGAAGCAAGGCTGGCTCTCCAAACAAGGGGAGTACATCAGGAACTGGCGGCAGCGCTACTTTTACCTCCTTGACGATGGCATGCTTCTAGGATTCAAGACAATTCCTCAAGATCTAACTGACCCTTTGAATACTTTCACAGTTAAGGCAAGAACATGCATTAAATTTGTTATGATTTATTGCAATTTTGCAAGCAATAATGCAGTAAAACCAGTCTTATTTCCTTCAATAATTTAGGCTTTTTTCATTATTAGCAATTGTGATTTTGAGAGCTTGTGCTCCAGCAATTTATTTCCATGTTAAAGATACCAATAATTTGGATGTTTACTATATTTCCTTAATAATAGAATTTTTATTGGAGCTATTGGAACAAATTTGCAGATTGAGGCTTGATGATGTTCTATATTAATTAATAACTGCCCAGGGTGTGGTAGTTGTGTCATCAATATGGAAATTAAGGGAAAAAATTCTTTGCAAGGGAAATTACTGCCATAGTGATGTGCTGCAGTATGCTAATGTAACTCTGTTGTTGCAGAGATGCCAGACATTAACTACGGACATCCCTAAAGCCAACACATTCATTATTCGAGGGCTGCGCTGGACTTCTGTTATTGAACGTAAATTTAATGCCGAAAGCAAAGATGAAAGGTTAGCACTCAAATGCCTTCACAGCTTCAAATGTGCTTCTGGATTTTTATTTTTTCTTTGTTTGAAAGGATTTTGTGTGCCTAAATAATTGCCTATCAGTTATATTTTTGGAAATTTATTAACTCAGGAATGCTTCGGCATTGACGGGGAAAAAGTATCCGCATGTAATGCTGATTTTTAAAAATTATTGTTTGCCTTCTCTGTCTCTAATGCTTCAGTGTGGAAAGTGCCTCCTAAATTATATCTATCAAGAGTCTTTACATTAATTAACATTTTTCCAAGTCTGTTCAGTCAAATGACATGAGTAACTATAGTTCTGATCATGCAGAAATGGATGGGTGGAGGCCATAGAGAGAGTGAAGGAGAGTTTAATGGAGGACGGTGATGGCGGCCTAGCACTTGGTGGAGTTCGTTCTACTGAGGAGGGGGACAGGGAGAACGATGACTCGGGTGACCCTGATGCCAACAGCGGAGTGGAGTACCTGCCTGCGCCTCAGGGTACCACTGCCATGGGGCCTTACAAGAAGAAGAAGAAATTGGCAAGTATCTTTATCTTTAGGAAAGTTTGGCATGCATTAGAAAGGAATTCAAAAGGGGTAATATATGAAACAATTTAAGTATATTGGATCAAAAAGCCAGACATTAGATTTATCTTTTATGTTTATGTAATATTTTGGAACTGGTCAAGTAACTAGGCTAGATTGAAATGGAATGTATTAAGTGCCGTCACTAGAATTCCTCCCTGGATTGCGGAGGATATCTTGAAGTCTTGGTGGCAAACATATCTTTTAATGGATGTTTTTTTTCTTTTGGGAACGGTACAAAATTGAATTCTGCCTTCATTTTAGACAAGAATGTTATCCAAAATTGGTGGCTGAAATATTAGCATTAAATTGATTCAAATTAAATAATATCCTATGTCAACTCGTTGTCTAATGATACTTTATATACCTGTTATCAATGTTATTCATATCTACTTGCTTGGCGACCAAAATTAACATGTTTAAGTAGAACAAGGTTTGACGCTATTTATCTTGTGGTTAGAATGTCAGAAATTATTATTCTGGGAAGTTGTTAAATTATAATTACAGAATTATTAAATTAGAATTTACATTCTATATACCTTCCTTGTCTATTATATTAGTTATACATCTTTCCTAGCTTCATGAATTTTGTAAATATAAACTAAAATTGTTTCTATAATATTAAGTGAAAAATTTTTAACATTGCTTTGTTACAGTCCCTTGACAGCTTTGAACTACTCAGTGGTTTGGGTCAAGGAACGTTCGGTCAGGTTGTTCTAGCCAGAGAAAAATCTTCAGGTAACATTTATGCCATCAAGATGCTGCGTAAAGATGTCATCCTCGAGAAGGATGAAGTGGAGCACACACTCACCGAGAACCGCGTCCTTCAGCGCATTGATCATCCTTTCCTCATGGTCAGTGAGAACTCCATTTCCTTCCTTCATGATCAGTAAGATCTTTTCCTTTCCTCATGGTCAGTGAGAACTCCATTTCCTTAGTACATTCTGAACGCCTGGGTTATAAATCATAACTTAGCTGAGAATAAATTCTAAAGGTGCTGGAGGAGAACGACTACGGTCGTACGGTCGACTGGTGGGGGTATGGCGTGTGTCTCTACGAAATGATGGTTGGAAGGCTGCCTTTCTTTGACAAGGATCACGAGAAGCTCTTCCAGCAAATCGTATATGAGGAGGTACGCACTCGTGCTACAAATGTTAACAATATTAGTGTACATTTGCTGGAAGTCTCAATGTTCACAAATATGTTGCTGTTAGTTGCACAAGTATCCATTATGAATATAACTACAATGTATTTAACTGGTTTCCTAACGCTTATGTGTTCGAGTTGCGCGACAAATATAACTGGTGATCTAATGCTTTGGTGTTTAACATGTTGACTCCGAAGTGGTACATATGCGTACCAGGAAATATATTTCTCCAGGACGTAGTGGTACATAATTCAGGTTGCCTAAAATCGGCTGAATCCGACAACAAAAAAGGCCAATAACTCAATATATACTAGTTTATTTGTAGGTTCCGCTATAAAAATTCCATTTATTTTCTTTTCGCAGCATTTAAAATTCAATTAGGAAGTACCCTTATCGTAAATTTTAGCCGGCCAACGCAAAAACAGCACAAAAAATGAAATAATAGTACAAGATGAAGCAATCGTAGTTAACGTGTTGAGTTGCATGACGAATGTAACTGGAGATTTAACTCTTTTTAGCGCATTTTCTCATTTATGAAAAAAATACACTATTGTGCTCGCCATTTCCATCTGTTCGTCCGTCTGTCTGTCCGTCCGTGACTTCATGTTTTCGTTGACGATAAAATGCGCTCTCTGTCACTCACAGCAGTGAGTACTGACTTATATTTTTTGTGTTGAAGTTGCGTGACGATTATAACTGGCAAAACTATGCTTTCATATTTAAGTTGTGGTATGAATATAAGCGGCAATATAACGATTTTGTGTTTAAGTTGCGTGACGAATATAACTGGCGATATAACGCTTTTGTAATTAAGTTGTGTGAGGAATATAACTGGTGACATAACTCTTATGTTATACAGGCGCGTTTCCCACGCACGATATCAGCAGACGCGCGCGACATGCTTAAAAGTTTGCTGGTGAAGAACCCGCAGCAGAGACTTGGAGGAGGCGTGCGCGACGCTCTCGAGGTGCAGGAGCATCCCTTCTACAACAACATCAACTGGGATCATGTGCTCAATAAGAAGGTGATGATCAAGTAATGTAATGAAAAAACTCGGTGTCAATAGAGAGGCGCTACAAAGGAAAATAGTGAGTGTCAGTAAGAAATCATCACCACTGAAAATACTCGCTGTGTTAATGAAAAATACCACAATCGAAAATACAAATGTCTCTCAATGAAATTACTAAAATTATGGTAAAACTTTGAATTTTGAATCTAAAACGAACCGTGTTTGGTATTGTTTTGTCTCGACCTTTCCTTGTAGCTCTTCTAGTTCCAGTTGAAGAGATCCCACCTGAATCTGAGTCACTAAAAACTGCTTTAAATTCTGCAGCAGAGTTTATATTTCATATTACTGACCTAATGACTCAGATATGCATTTAAATCATTCTTCAATGATGATGGTTTCCATCGAGTATTTCACCTGCAAATTACTGGACCACTGACTGAGACTCTCATTTAAATCTTTCGCCAATGACAGTGGTTTTCATAGCGTATTTCTCTTGCAGATACCTCCACCCTTTGTGCCTGAAGTGCGGAGTGCTACTGACACCGGTAACTATGACCCCGAGTTCACAACCCCCGTACACATCTCACCACTCGGGTCCCAGAGCAGCCTTATTGTCATCCATGAACAGGAGGAGCCATTCACGGTGAGCAGTTATTGGCAGTGTGCAATGCTTGGAATAGTGGTTCAAGGTCCAAATTGCCTGGATAAAATTCAAGATTGAAACTACCTGATAACTTAATCAGTTTCAAAATATCAGCTAAGTAAAAATGGTGAATGTCGTATCAGATTTTGAGATGTAAAATAATATGTGCAGTTTTAATGTATTACCTCTCTGAATTTCACTCTGGTCATTAGCTTGTTGTGTGGCGAATTTGGTTCATGGTGAGCTGTGATTGGCTTATTGGCTTGCTGTTGTGTGGCGGCACTGGTTCATTATCTTTTGGGAACGGTACAAAATTGAATTCTGCCTTCATTTTAGACAAGAATGTTATCCAAAATTGGTGGCTGATATATTAGCATTAATTTGATTAAAATTAAATAATATCCTATGTCAACTCGTTGTCTAATGATACTTTATATACCTGTTATCAATGTTATTCATATCTACTTGCTTGGCAACAAAAATTAACATGTTTAAGTAGAACAAGGTTTGACGCTATTTATCTTGTGGTTAGAATGTCAGAAATGATTATTCTGGGAAGTTGTTAAATTATAATTACAGAATTATGAAATTAGAATTTACATTCTATAAACCTTCCTTATCTATTCTATTAGTTATACATCTTTCCTAGCTTCATGAATTTTGTAAATATAAACTAAAATTGTTTCTATAATATTAAGTGAAAATTTTTTACATTGTTTTGTTACAGTCCCTAGACAGCTTTGAACTACTCAGTGGTTTGGGTAAAGGAACATTCGGTCAGGTTGTTCTAGCCAGAGAAAAATCTTCGGGTAACATTTATGCCATCAAGATGCTGCGTAAAGATGTCATCCTCGAGAAGGATGAAGTGGAGCACACACTCACCGAGAACCGCGTCCTTCAGCGCATTGATCATCCTTTCCTCATGGTCAGTGAGAACTCCATTTCCTTCCTTCATGATCAGTAAGATCTTTTCCTTTCCTCATGGTCAGTGAGAACTCCATTTCCTTCCTTCATGATCAGTAAGATCTTTTCCTTTCCTTATGGTCAGTGAGATCTTTTCCTTTCCTTATGGTCAGTGAGATCTTTTTCCTTTCCTCATGGAGAGTGAGAACTGTCTGTTGACAGAGTTGGAACTCTGTCCATGCAGTTCAAAAGCCAAGTGTAAATTTAATCTACATATTTGAAATAAAATTTGTTTCCACACAACAAAACAGAACAACTTCTAAGATTATAATAATTGTTCAAATTTAAAAATTTGGAAATTAATTTTTTTCGTCTTCAAATAGAAGTATGATTTATGTGCAATTGGTAACCATGCCCTTTGCTGTGCAGTACCTAAAGTATTCATTCACAACCAAAGACCGGCTCTGCTTTGTGCTGGAATATGTCACTGGAGGTGAACTCTTCCATCACCTTACCCGAGAAAAAATATTCTCTGAAGAACGAACAAAGTTTTATGGTGCTGAGATATGCCTTGCTCTAGGCTACTTACATCGCTGCAATATCATCTACAGGGATCTCAAGGTAAAATCCATTTTTTGGCTAAAAGTATTTAATTTCATTTTATTTCCAAGTGCAGTCAAGGAAACCTCTTGTATGCCATTTACACTGATCATCTAAGTTTTGTATAAATGATCGTGCAAATAACCTTAATATCTGAGCATCCATGCATTTTTCCTGCTGTTATTTGCCTGTAAACTTGTAAATTCTTCAGCTTCCCCATTAATTTTGTTGTGTTTACTTTCAGTTGGAGAATTTATTATTGGATGATGAAGGTCACATAAAAGTTGCTGATTTTGGCTTGTGTAAGGAGAACATGCCGTACGGTAACACAACACGCACCTTCTGCGGCACTCCGGAGTATCTGGCTCCTGAGGTGGGATTCCTATTTGCTCAGGCTGTCTATTTTCCGTAAAATGAGACTCAACCTCTTGTTTACGATTACATTAGTCTTTATATATGGTTATGATATGCGTTCCTTATAATTTACAAACTTGAAGACAAAACGGTAAAAAAAAACTATTTCTGTTGCCCTGGTTACCACTACAGGTAGCATCCATGTTAGTCTGAAAATGTCCTGCAAATGGGGGTGGTGATGCAGATTAAACTTACTGGTTTATTGACAAGATTCCAGTTTTCTCTTGTTGATTTATTTTGGAAATTAGATTATTTTACCCATTTAAAGTGTTTTTTTTTTTTAATTTTCTGAAACTTTCATTTACTTTCATTGATTAGTGTGCAAGTAAAATCAATTATCGTTATGTCTGCAGGAATTTAGGTGCTACCGTATTCAAGCAACTAGATTCACCGTACATTCTGAACTCCTGGGTTATATATTATAACTTAGGTGAAAATTTATTTTAAACAATATTTACTGCTGGCAGGTGCTGGAGGAGAACGACTACGATCGTACGGTCGACTGGTGGGGGTATGGCGTGTGTCTCTACGAAATGATGGTTGGAAGGCTGCCTTTCTTTGATAAGGATCACGAGAAGCTCTTCCAGCAAATTGTATATGAGGAGGTACTCAGTCGTACTACTAATGTTAACAATATTGCACCTACTGTACATTTGCTGGAAGTCTCAATGTTTACAAATATGTTGGTGTTAGTTGCACTGGTATTCATTATGAATAGAACTGCAATGAATTTAACTGTTTTCCTAACGCTTATGTGTTTAAGTTGCATGACGAATATAACTGGCGATATACCGGTAACTCTTTTTTTTTTGTATTGAAGTTGCGTGACAAATATAACTGGCAAAACTTTGCTTTTGTATTTAACTTGTGTAACGAATACAAGTAGCGATATCACGCTTTTGTGTTTGGGTTGTGTGACGAATATAACAGCGATATAACGCTTTTGTATTTAAGTTCTGTGAGGAATATAACTGGCGATATCACGCTTTTGTGTTTAAGTTGCGTGACGAATGTAACTGGCAATATAACGCTTTTGTATTTAAGTTCTGTAAGGAATATAACTGGTGACATAACTTATGTTATACAGGCGCGTTTCCCACGCACGATATCAGCAGACGCGCGGGACATGCTCAAAAGTTTGTTGGTGAAGAACCCGCAGCAGAGACTTGGAGGAGGCGTGCGCGACGCCCTCGAGGTGCAGGAGCATCCCTTCTACAACAACATCAACTGGGACCATGTGCTTAATAAGAAGGTAATGACCAAGTAATGTAATGAAAAAACTCGGTGTCAATAGAGAGGCACCATTAAGGACAATAGTGAGTGTCAATTTAAAATTACCAGCAATGAAAATACTTGCTGTGTTAATGAAAAATAAAAATACTCGAAAATACAAATGTCTCTCATTGAAATTAGTAAACCATGACATAAATTTGAATTTTAAATCTAAATATGAATCGTGTATGGTATTATTTTGTCTCGACCTTTCCTTATAATTTCTATTTCTAGTTGAAGAGATCCTACCGCTGACACCACATGTGATTTTGAATAATTAACAACTGCTTTACAATTCTGCAGCAGAGTTTATCCTTCATATTACTGACCTAATGACTCAGATATGCATTTAAAACATTCTTCAATGATGATGGTTTCCATAGAGTATTTCACTTGCATATTACTGGACCACTGTTTGAGAAACTCATTTAAATCTTTCGCCAATGACAATGGTTTTTATAGTGTATTTATCTCACAGATACCTCCACCCTTTGTGCCTGAAGTGCGGAGCGCTACTGACACCGGTAACTATGACCCTGAGTTTACAACTCCCGTACACATCTCACCACTCGGGTCCCAAAGCAGCCTTATCGTCATCCATGAGCAGGAGGAACCATTCACGGTGAGCAGTTTATTCTTTATTCACAGAGGAGCACACAAAAATATACATAACAAGTGACTATCGAAAATTTAAAGAAAAAAAATACAAAATGCTTCCTTGTGAATGCCTATATATGCTAAAAAGCTTCACAGTTATTGGCAGTGTGCAATGCTAGGAATGGGGGTTGGTTAAAGGTCCAAATTGCCTGTATGAAATTCAACATTAGGACTGCCTGATAACTTAATATGTTCAAAAATATCAGCTAAGTGTAAATGGTGAATATCGTATCAGATTTTGAGATCCAGAATAATAAGTGCAATTTTAATATATTACCTCCCTGAATTATACCCTAGTCATTGGCAAATTCTTGTGTGGCGGCACTGGTTCATAGTGAGCCTTGATTGGCTTGCTGTGTGGCGGCACTAGTTCATAGTGAGCAGTGATTGGCTTATTGGCTTGCTGTTGTGTGGCGGCACTGGTTCATTATGAGGAGGGATTGGCTAGATGTTGTTCAACGGGACTTAATTATTCTGCGCTCTGATTGCCGTGCCATTGAGTGGCGGAGATAGCTTTACTGTTAGCAAAGATTGGCTGGCGTATTTATTTTCTAATGGAAACTGTGCCTGGAAGGTTCCGACACTCGGCGTTAAAACTCCTCCTAATTCACAGGAATTTGACCAGTTCTCGTATCAAGGAGACTCCTCGACCGTGGGCAGCTCCCTGACCTCCAGTTTCAACTAGCTGGAGGCTGCCAAAGAGTCCAGCTAGAGGACCTCCGTGCTATCACGCCCCCTCGTCTTGCCTCCTCCCCCCCCCCCCGGCATCCTTTTCTGCCTCCCCTGCATCTTTTTTTTTTTTGCCTCCCCCTGCATCCTTTTTTGCCTCCATCTGCATCCTTTTCTCCCTTCGAACCAACGCTTTGTGAAGTCGGTCGGTTGTTGAATAATAATTTGCTATAGATTGAAATTATTTGAACTTAACTTAAATTTACTGCTGTGTATTCAATTAATAGCAAAACGCAAACAAAATCCAAGTACTACCAATACCACAAGACTTCTGGTGCCAGTTCCCTCTTCCCCCACTGATCGTACATTTCAAGGCAAAAATGCGTGTAATGCTTATAACAACAGCAACTGTACTGCCAAAACTTGATTCTATCTCAGTCTAGGTCGCTATAAATTGATCTATTCTTTACTTGAATACGCAACCTGTTCTGTATTTGTTATTTGTACTTTCTGGTCTGTTTCTGTAGATTTTTGGCTTATTGCTTCCAGGCTTGTATCTTCTTGGCTGCGTTTGTCTATAATCTGGATGATACATCGCATGATACTCCAGCATTTGGCTTTTTTCCATCAGTCTCGTCAAAACTCAACGTAATTTAAGCTTTTTGTTGCTCTAATATTAATATGTCTTGCGAGGAGGCAGAGTTTGGCATCGAACGCCTGTTTACTCCAATGCTGGTCAACGAGTCCATTTGGTTATCGCGATTCAGTTTTTGTGTGTAATTAGGAGCAATATATGGCGTTTATTCTAGGTACAACTATAATAATAAATTTATCCCATTAATCTTCCATAAGTCAAATCAATTTTAAATGCGATTTAGTCCATTTAATGCAAAATAATTGTAACTATGTTTATTACGTTTAAATTTTTGTTAGTATTTTTTGGTTATGGTTAGTCGAAGTAAATTTTTGGTTATGATTAGTCAAAGTATTTTTTTGGTTATGATTAGTCAATAATTTGACATGACGTTTCCTTGATCGAAAGTTCCAGTATTTGGCTAATTTAGTAAGGGAAGATGATAGGAGGTTAGTTCTAGCTTCGGCCGCGCTGCTCTTAAACTTTACTCTTGCCAATTGTTTTAAAATATTGGTAGCTTCCTAAGATTAAACACGAGTTCGTTCCTTAGTTATAGAATTAGCTGCTGTAAGGCCGTTACTGATACAATAGGAAGGTTTGAAACAACCGTGCTGCGGTGACTCCTTCCCAGCCATCTCCCTGTTAGCTCTACTAGTACATGGAGCTCCTGAGTACGAATTGCTTATGCTGAACATAGAATATTTGTACGCATAGAGAACGAAGTATTGTTTATACGCCTGCATCGTGAACCTAATGTGGCAAACGAGGTCATTATTGATACGTCAAATATTTTACAAGAAATCCGTTCCCTCTGAACTTTACTCCTTAGAGGGAAACTACTGTCAATTGAATTGTTAGTTTATACAATGGGCTACACGAATAAATGAGTACACCAATAATAAGCTGATGGATCTATGGAGTAAAGCCAGTATCGATCGTTCTATTTTTGTTAAGTTTAGTATGCTGGTTGCATGTACGTTTCATTTTTGCTATCAATGATAAGCTTCATAAGTAGCATTTCGTATCATTTAGTTTCATTTTATCAACTTTACCAATTTTGGGAAACTGGAAGCAAAGGCGTTCTTCGTAAATTAGCGATATTAGAAATGAAATTATACAATACATGGTCTCAAAACATGGCGCTACGATGTCATCATTATGAGGAACATTGAAGATCTCATCGACCTTGAAGATGTCAATCTTGAAGTTACACTCAATTTATTTGGTGCAATAGCGGCTCGCGCAAGCAACAGCAACTGTGCGTTTAGTGCTGTCGTATTATTGGTGCTGTAATATTCACTGTGTGGCATCAGTTGCAAACAGCGCTCTTGATAATTTTGTCCATTCTTATGTTCTTTTTTTAGCTTACATGTGCGTATATCTTTGTGGATCAGTACAGCTTTGTCATTCAGTACATTTTTGTTGCGCAGTATAGCCGTCACTCGGTACATTTTTGCCCCTGAGAACAGTTTATTCGCTTAGTACATTTTTTTACAGCTTTGTCGTTGTGTACAGCTTTACCATTCTCTACTTTAGTACTGTAAGTTATAAATGAACATGGCATGCAGTTTAATTTTTTCTAGGCAGTGCGCTTTCTTTCAGGCACAAGCTTTCTCAGGACCCGTGCTGAACACCTGCTACCAATTCAGTTATCGCACTCTTGTATTTTAAATGCACTTAAAATCCAGTTCTCAGCCCACACTTATTTCACTACAAATGATATACATTGTACTGTAATTTCTACATACTTGCAGTCTTCAACCAATTGAACTAACCTTCCCTAGCATAAACAGACCGTCGCAACCATGTCAGTCCATTGTGAATAACTTAAGATTATGTTTTCCGATGCGTGTAAATATGTAGCATTCTTTTGTGCGTTCCTAGATTTTGATTTTGCTTTGCTGCGTCTGCTCCCAAACGGCTGCTGATCCTGAAGGTTTTTCTGCCTGAACGTTAAAATGAATATTGCTTTCCCTTTCGTAACTGTGATACTGGAAGATGAATTTATGTTTAAGATGAAGTTTTGTTGCAGTGAATGCACCAGCTTTTGCCTCAACTCTATGTTGTAACACTATTACTTCGCAATACAAGAACTTATGCCTATGTATCGCAGTTGTACGTAGCAGTAATCCAACAGTTTATCTTACTAAGTCTTTCAATGTAAACTACAACATCATCTGAGCAACGTTAACAGCCTTCAATTGTCGTAAGGAATTATAATCATAGAGTTCTCTGAACTGACTTCATAATGTCATCAAGATATTATTAGTTTAATAACATTTTCTAGCAGTGGATTTTTGCTTGAATTTACTTTCCTGGCTTAACAATACAATATTATGTGTGATTTTGTAGCGATATGGAACCCTAGACTACGCTATGTATTCAATTTTAATCCTAATCATAAAAATGTCATCTATTTGGAAACTATTAGTACAATATATTGGGATTATACTGTTGGTTTATACATGTACAATTTTCGCGAGTTATTAAGTCTAATTGTCAGCGGGGCTATTGAATTGTGTGGTCATATTCTGTGTAGGTCTACTGAAATTGTGGCTCAAATACTGAGAGAATCTATTGAATTGAGAGCTTAGATGCTCAGTATGCTCTATTGAATTAGAATCAATGCTCAGGATATTCTGTAGTCTTTGAGACTTGTTTCTTAATTTGCTTGTTCAAGTTTCATTGACCAACCCCAGTTTATGCTCGGAGTATAAAAAATTTACCTAATACGCAGCCAGTAATTCTAAGATCACGGTACTTTACGTTAACTCAGCGTTGTAAATTGCACTGAAAAGTCGACAAGAAAATCAATTTTAGAGATCCCTTGTAACGCATTATAATTAAGGTATTGAAGGAAGCTCGCAGTTAGTCATACATTGTTGTTATCGTCGCGCCTTAAGTCGAATGTTCTTGGAGTTTAATGTTCCTAGTCTATAAGAACGAGGTTGACAACCTTAAATTTTGGCCAAAATGCGTGTTGATTAATGTCAAATTATCTGGCACAGAGCCGGAGAAGTTTCGTTATTGTATGAAGCTATTTGAGTGAGAAGGCTATTGTCTTTCTTTAATAGTGTGTAAATAATAATTGTACTACTTATTGCTACTATTAGTAATGTTGCTACAACTCTTGCTACCACTGTTCGACGCGGCAAAAGTTGTGCAGGTCTGGTTTAGTAGTAGCAACAAACTTGCGCTATAAATGATGCCTATAAGCTCGAGATACTCACCATGTCTAAGTTGTAAAGTTGTGGGTGATGGTGACGCTGGTAATTTAACTGTAATCCTGTCGCAGTTTACGATTGATTTAAAATTTCTACTGGTTATTTCTGATCCGCCTTTTCTGGCTATAATTTGATTGATAAAACGCTCATAAGGCTTACCCTAAAACTCACGCAACCGAGATAAGGTTAACCCTAAAGCTCACGCAACAATTTCAGTTATGTAGGGTTAAGCGAAGATGCTAGTGATTGTACCTTACAATTATACCCAATCCTAACACCCTTGTACGAAAGTGAGATACAATGCAGCAGGTGCTCGTTATATCTAATTTTGCTTTGAATCCTTCCTTGTTTATTTTTTGCCATGTTATCATGTACAAACCTGTGCCCAGTGATAGTTGTAAGTTGTGCCACCGAGTGCTAGTATTCGTGCGAATTACCTGATAATTACCTCGAAACCACGGCCTGTACTTTTCTATTTGCCAGCTGTCCCTACAGGCGTGGGCACCCGCCACGTAGAGGCCTATCCAGGACGACATTTCTATTTCAGGTTTCACGTCCGCGCCGCGCCGCGACACAAATGTGCTGGGACGTCATATTTACCAAGAACTGGAGTACATATTTCTGCCGTGACTTCATATTTACCAAGAACTGGAGTATAGTACGTATTTCTACCGTGACGTCATATTTACCAACAACTGGAGTATAGTACGTATTTCTGCCGTGACTTCATATTTACCAAGAACTGAAGTATAGTACGTATTTCTACCGTGACGTCATATTTACCAAGAACTGGAGTACGTATTTCTACCGTTACGTCATATTTACCAAGAACTGGAGTACGTATTTCTACCGTTACGTCATATTTAGCAAGAACTGGAGTACGTATTTCTACCGTTACGTCATATTTAGCAAGAACTAAAGACTCGGCATCGCTACCGTGGCCGCTCTGAGGAAGCTGCAAGTGCTACCTGGTCAAGGTATAGGCACGGTAGCTGAGTATACATTACAGAATTCTATTTACTAGTTAGAAAATTGATATTTGTTTGCCTGAATAAGTCAAAAATACGGATTTTTTCTAAGATAAGTTAAATACGAGGAGAACATACGCCTTACTGCGATAGGGTGTTGAAATCCAGCCCAGTGTTACGTCGGTGTTGCAGGGCTACACTCGGTGTTGCAGGGCTACACTCGGTGTTGCAGGGCTACACTCGGTGTTGCAGGGCTACACTCGGTGTAGCAGGGCTACTACGTTTTGTACGTCTACGTTAAGAGCGTACTCAAATGATCGTTTTGTTAATTTTTCTCGTTTGGTTCAGAATATAAATTACGACGTCTGACCCGCGTTCTCATTTTATCCATCCATTCAAATCAGTTCTAATAACTTATAGGTGTCGACTGATTTCCTTTAATATATCTCTCTAGAATGTTCAAATTATTTTTGAAAAAATTGTAACAAAGGTTTATGTGGATATTGTTTTGCAATATATTTATTTCCGCATGATTTATCTCGTGAAGAGATGCTTTCGAGTGAGCAGAATATCAGCGTTTCGTGAACATTAAATTGCGGCTGTTGCGAATTTTCCGTCTCTGTAGCGCGTCATCTGCAGGAATGCACCGGTATTGTGAATATTCCTCTTTGATAGTGAATACTGACATTATATCAGAGAAATACGTGAAACTTTGTCCCAATACCGATGTACTATTACCCTTTTGTGGGTCATCCTGACCCAATTTGTCCCGATATATGTGCTACCTCCGCTTTATTATCGTGTTGTGGGTAAGATAGTGTGTCACTATTTGGACATTATGATCCATTAATTTTTTCTGAGTGTAGCTTCCTGATCGCGTGTAAAAAGTTGACCGCCGCACACCAAAATTTTTTTGCACAGGCACGCCCCAGCTTCCTCTAAGCTGGGGCGTGTAGGGGAACTAGCGCCGCCCCTCACACCTGTTGCGCTAGTGCTGCTCAACTAGTGAATAGAATAGAAGTGTCGGCGTTGAAGACATAGGCCCATGGCCTGTTGCCGATTCTTGAACTTTTCGTGACTTGATTCACAAGGGATCCGGCCTTTGGAACCCGATCTTTCCATAGCTGACGATTGATTGAGATAGCTGCTGGACTTATGCCTGGTCCGTAATTTGCTAGGCATTTTAAGACTGAACATATATGCTCCTGCATTGCTTCGTCTGGACTTATTGCCTGGTCCGTAATTTGCTAGGCATTTTAAGACTGAACATATGCTCCTGCATAGCCTCGTCTAGTCTGTTCCTGAAGGCGTTCATACTCGGAGCGTCAACGATGCTATCAATGAATAACTGAACACTTCACTAGTTATTTGGGTGAATGCAAGTTGAAAAACTTGTGTTGATTTGATGGTAGTACTCAGGCTGCTGAATGATTTAAAGCAAGTCTTCCCGCAATTATCCAAATGTGATAAAATGTAATGTCTAAACTTCATATTACGCGTATCTAAATATTTCATTATTAGATTAAAAGTTATTTGGATATTTAAAATATTGTAATGATATTTTTGTCGCCATGTATAATTTATTTCATCATCAACACGTCAGATGACGTGTTGGCAACATGGTCCAAAAAAACTTAGGGTACGTTAGAAATGCTCTTCACTTTTAATATCGTAAAAAATTAACGGCAAATTTCGTAGAGGCCTATTTCAAGGGGAGCTGAAGACCCCTAAAATAGGCTGATTGATGCCACTTGGGATTTTTATGCAACTTATTTGATTTGTCTTCGAACATTATTGACGAACACGCCGTTAGCCATTTAATTCATATTCTCCTCTAATATAATAATTTCACTGAATAAATTGTAAGTTAGCCAAAAATTTAAGAGTGATGAAAGCACACAGAAACATACTTCAAAGTTACGTATCTTTGTTGCAGTTCTAATGTAGGCTAGGCTCTCTAATCATTTAGAATTAACAGCTCGGACAATTCTTGCTTATTTCTGCCGACGATGGAATTAACCGACGCTCCTCGGTCGAGAAGCTCTTCAATTGCCTGCCGAAGTAACAAGAAAACTAAGAAAAGAAGTCGCTCTTCTTCTTCATCTTCATCGAGCTCTTCGTCTTCATCATCGTCATCGAGCTCTTCATCTTCATCATCTTCATCGGGACGTGAAAAAACAGCAAAACGTAAATCCAAAAGTAAAAAACATAAGAAGATAAAAAAGAAACTCAGGAAGAAGAGGAAGAAGGAAATAAAGAAACTAAAGAAAGCCAATTTTCACTGTTCCCTTTACCACGTTTTACTGTATTAAATTACAGTATTAATTAGGTTACAATTTTTTGATCATCTTCTTCTGAGGAAATGATTTGCAAGAGTAGGATTAAAAAGTGTATTTTTAGCGCGTATCAGCTAGTACTGTTGATTCGTATTGAACAAGTTCAAAATCATATGTTGCAATGAGTAAAACTTCAATTATGAATTCAATCCTGAAATTGATTCAAATTTGATCAGAAGTGACTTCAAATAATAAGGCAATCATGGCAGCAATTATCTCTGGGGAGTTCCTTCCAAACAACGCACAGTGGGCGGTAACGGGAGAGGATGAGGCTCAGACAGCCCTCAAGACCCTAGAAAATACCAACAACAAACCCCGAGGCTGGGTAATAGTGCGGTCCACTGCCACCACACCCGTGTTGTGTTTGTCTCAACTGCTGATCAAGCTGGCCGAGGCGAGCTGTGACATTGACTTGCGCCTCCTGGACTCCTTCTGGTCACATTATCCTCCACCTCCTGACATTTCCCACAACAGAATGGGAAGCTTCCTGCGATCAGGCCATGGATGCAAGTTACGGCTGTTCTATGGGCACCTCGAGGCCGCGGCGCTGCAGTCTATGCCGGCGCTGAAGTACATAGGCCTGCGCCTGGAGTCCGCAACGGACGTGGAGGTTGTCAACTCTGCCAAGTGCCGCTACCGAGCCGCCGCCGTAAGCAGGAACCTGAAACCGGAGGACATCACGCAGCGCCTCACGTCGGGTGCAAACCTACATTGCGTGGACCTGGAGGACGGCGAGGTGCCGTGGCTGCTGGCCGTGGCCGAGAAGCTACTTACCACTGATGGGTTTGTTATTTATTAAACTTACTTCAGTGACGCCAGGTTGTAAATATTTCAAAATATATCTATATATATTTTTCAATATTTTAAAATAACCGTAAATATTTTTGACGTATATCACTCTTACATGCATGAAGTCGGGTTCTCGCAAGGCTCTAAACTGCGGACATGTTTAGATGAAAGTTTATTTACCGTCCCACTTCATTAACAGATGCATGAGAATTATTAACTTTGCGTTCCATTGAAATAATTTTTTGTCGTTTCCAATTTACTGCGGGTACAAACACGTCACACATTATGCGTTCTGTGCACAGACGGGGCCACCTCTACCTGCCAGTGTGCCGCCTCACCTCGGCAGGCGTGAGGCAGCTGATCAAGTCTGTCAACACTGGCATCTTGGGCGTGTATTTGCAGTCTAGTTCACTGACACCAACACACAGGGAGCAGCTCGAGGTTCTTGCCAGGGAGAAGAACAAGCGTCTGCACTGGGAACTGCGGGGTTGGTTCTAATTCAGGCCGGCAGCTGCGTGCTACAGGTGGCCCAGTGGTTACAGTTCAGAGTACCGACATTGGCGCAGAGAGGTGCGGATTCGATCCCAGCTCTGTGCGCCAGTTTCTGGTCAGAATCGGCAAGGAAGCCGGGCGATTAAGCACTGCAGAATTGTAGCAGTGAGTATCTAGTTCATGACCGCAAAATGCTGAAAATGTTCTGCGATGTTAAGAAACGGCGACAGGCCTACGGCCTAATAAACGCTGAAACCGCTATTATTATTATATTATTATAACAAGGCAATTAAAAAACTAATGAAGAATAATATGAAGAACGGGAGCAATGAGCCTGTCGACAACGTCACTGAAGACGTCGATGACGTCGGTGATTGCAAGTTGAAAAACTTCTGTTGATTTGAAGGTAGTACTCAGGCTGCTGAATGATTTAAAGCAAGTCTTCCCGCAATTATCCAAATGTGATAAAATGTAATGTCTAAACTTCATATTACGCGTATCTAAATATTTCATTATTAGATTAAAAGTTATTTGGATTTTTTAAAATATTGTAATGATATTTTTGTCGCCATGTATAATTTATTTCATCATCAACACGTCAGATGACGTGTTGGCGACATGGTCCTAAAAACTTAGGGTACGTTAGAAATGCTCTTCACTTTAAATATCGTAAAAAATTAACGGCAAATTTCGTAGAGGCCTATTTCAAGGGGAGCTGAAGACCCCTAAAATAGGCTGAATGATGCCACTTGGGATTTTTATGCAACTTATTTGATTTGTTTTCGAACATTATCGACGAACACGCCGTTAGCCATTTAATTCATATTGTCCTTTAGTATAATAATTTCATTGAATAAATTGTAAGTTAGCCAAAAATTTAAGAGTGATGAAAGTACACAGAAACGTACTTCAAAGTTACGATCTTTGTTGCAGTTCTAATGTAGGCTCTCTAATCATTTAGAATTAATAGCTCGGACAATTCTTGCTTATTTCTGCCGACGATGGAATTGGCAGAGGCTCCTCGGTCGAGAAGCTCTTCAATTGCCTCCCGAAGTAACAAGAAAACTAAGAAACGAAGTCGCTCTTCTTCTTCTTCATCATCGTCATCGAGCTCTTCTACTTCATCATCGTCATCGAGCTCTTCATTTTCTTCATCGGGACGTGAAAAAACAGCAAAACGTAAATCCAAAAGTAAAAAATATAAGAAGATAAAAAAGAAACTCAGGAAGAAGAGGAAGAAGGAAATAAAGAAACTAAAAAAAGCCAACAAAGCAATTAAAAAACTAATGAAGAATAATATGAAAAACGGGAGCAATGAGCCTGTCGACAACGTCACTGAAGACGTCGATGACGTCGGTGAGCTATACCCTCGTTAATAACTTTATTACCTCAATTATTAATTTATTATAGTATACGTTTGATAATTTATTATCTTCCGTCACCTCATTTATTATCTTCGTTACCTCAGTTCTTATCCTCGTTACCTCTGTTCTTATCCTCGTTACCTACGGACATTTTGAGGGACAGAGTCTAATTATAACTTTACTGCGAGTATTCTTGATGTTACGATCTTCAAATATTTTTCTGCCTTCCCGATCATTGGGGGCGAGTAATGAATCGTGTTTGGCGCGAGTCTTGAGTGATCGTACATGTAATTGTGATGAATGCTTATGCTGTGATGAATGCTATGGCATTAAGCTGTTGAATGCTCAGTAGTGTAACTGTGATGAATGCGGTGGCATTAAGCTGTTGAATGCTCAGTAGTGTAACTGTGATGAATGCGGTGGCATTAAACTGTTGAATGCAAGTGTAACTGTGATGAAAGCGTTGTCATCAAGCTGTTGAATGCTCAGAAGTGTAACTCTGTTGATACTATCGCGTTGAGTTGCTGGTCCGGACACGGCTGAGCTGCTGGCGGCGAGCAAGAGTCGCGCGCCGCTGACGAAGGCGCAGTGGGAGGAACAGCAGAACAAACTGTGCCGCGTGCTGGACCCTGACACTGGCAGGATGAGGTACCCTACTATTTTAGGGGGAGACTTGCTTATTATGGTCATAATAATTATTGATGTTTTTGAATTTTCTACTTCCCTGTGACTGAAATTATTATAGGGTACGGTACCCTACTATTTTAGGGGGAGACTTGCTTATTATGGTCATTATAATTATTGATGTTTTTGAATTGTCAACTTTCCTTTGATTGGAATTATTATAGCCTTATAGGGTACCCTACTATTTTAGGGGGAGACTTGAATATTCTGGTCATATTAACTATTAAAGTTTTTTAATTTTTAACTTTTGTGGTATTGATTGAAATTACTATAGATTTGTTTGTATCGTAATGTAATTCTTATTTTTCGCTGCTGTGAAAAGAGACTCATTAATTTCAGGAATTAAATAACGATGAGAATTTATGGGAATAATTCAAACAAAATTTTGCGAGTGAGATAACCTAAATTATATCTGCTCGTAATGAAAAGGAGGTCGTCAGTCAATGCGATGTGTGGGCGTATTATTTGAACCTTGCCTCACTGATGAGGTAGGCAACGCTGTTCTCCACTGTCTCTGTTCTGCTGTAGTTCTGTATTTCTCTGCGAGACAGGAACTAACTAGCTAGCTGATTAGCGACCTCTGCTCTTATTAACGATCTCTGCAACTGAGTATCTCTGCTGTCATAAACGATCTCTGTTCTAATAAACGACCCCTGCTCTCATAAACGATTTCTGCTCTCATAAACGGTCTCTACTCTTATTAACGATCCCTGCTCCTCAGTATCTCAGCTGTAATGAATGATATCTGCTCTTAATCATTTGTGCTCTCATAAACAATCTCTGCTCTCATAATGATAAACGATCTCTGCTCTCATAAACGACATCTGCTCGTAATTATCTGCACCTATTTGCCGAGGCTGATCCGCGGCACCGGGGAGGTGGTGGAGGAGTGTGTGTCGAGGCGTCGCGCCGTGGCCATCAACAAGCAGGCGACGCGAGGCGACGGCGACGCCTTCCAGCAAGGCGTCGCCGCCAAGCTTGCGTCCGGTCCTCAGGAACGGCAAGATAATCAGCAATAATAGATCTGCGTCGCCTGGAACAAGCAGGCGACGGTGGGCGACGGCGACGCCTTCCAGCAGGGCGTCGCCGCCAAGCTTGCGTCCGGTCCTCAGGAACGGCAAGATAATCAGCAATAATAGATCTGCGTCGCNCGCGTGGCAACGGCCACGCATTCCTGCAGGCGACTCGTGGCTACGGCCACGCATTCCTGCAGACGACGCGCGGCAACGGCCACGCATTCCTGCAGGCGACGCGTGGCTTCGGCCTCGCATTCCTGCAGGCGACGTGCGGCTACGGCCACGCATTCCTGCAGGCGATACGTGGCAACGGCCACGCATTCCTGCCACGTATACTGTCATTCCCACGCACAGATATATACTGTCAGTTATACTCGCAGAAATTTAATGACTTTGTCCAAATATTATTGCATTTCTTGCCCTTGTGAGGGCCACCCCACAGTTTTGCCCGGCTAAAGGACGCATCAGCACTACGTGCAGGTAGTGTGTCATTATTTGGAGAATAGGACTAATTTATTTTCTGAGTGAAAGGCAAACACTTCAATACGTTCTAATATATCAGTCTTAAATCAGAGCCCAGCGGAATAATGGTTTGCAAGACTCAATGGAAATAATACATTAAAATACATTGATAAGAATTTACAAGCTAAGAAAACGCGAAGTGAATTTAGCTGCGAAGTGACTTACTTTATTACTTTGTTATTCGTTTACTTTATTTAATTCACTTGGCGTTTTCTATGCTCTCAAATTAAGGGTGAACTTTTGATTTTTCGACATCTGATAGAAATACCAATTGAAATTATTACTGCATTTATGGACACCGCCATTAATAGATTGAGACTACATTAGAAATAAATTATTAGCATTATAATATACATGGCATTACCGGCCAGTGCACATATCTAGTGCACTGAACTACATTACATACCTGTCTCTTATACACATCTAGATGTGTATAAGAGACAGGTGCTGGACCCTGACACTGGCAGGATGAGGTACTCTGCTATTTTAGGGGGAGACTTGCTTATTCTGGTCATTATAATTATTGATGTTATTGAATTTTCAACTTTCCTTTGATTGAAATTATTATAGGGTACCTTACTATTTTAGGGGGAGACTTGCTTATTGTGGTCATTATAATTATTGATGTTTTTGAATTTCAACTTTCCTTCGATTGAAATTATTATAGCCTTATAGGGTACCCTACTATTTTAGAGGGAGACTTGCTTATTATGGTCATAATAATTAATAAAGTTGTCCTGGACCCTGACACTGGCAGGATGAGGTACCCTACTATTTTAGGGGGAGACTTGCTTATTGTGGTCATAATAATTATTATAGTTATTGAATTTTCAACTTTCTTTTGTGGTATGGATTGAAATTATTATAGATTTATTTATATCGTAATATGATTTTTATTTATCGCTGCTGTGAAAAGACTCATTAATTATGATTTTTATTTATCGCTGCTGTGAAAAGATCGACGGCGACGCCTTCCAGCAGGGCGTCGCCGCCAAGCTTGCGTCCGGTCCTCAGGAACGGCAAGATAATCAGCAATAATAGATCTGCGTCGCCTGGAACAAGCAGGCGACGGTGATCCATTCCTGCAGGCGACGGCGATCCATTCCTGCAGGCGACTCGTGGCAACGGCGACGACTAAGTCAACTGCCAGGTTCTCGAAAAAGAATTCTCTAACATCAACGATGAGTTATTTGTTTAAGTTTGAATTAACAGCAGCGTGGTATTATTATATTTGTCAACACAAAATAGGTGACCCGAGTTAACCGTTACTGTTAGCGATCTTCGAGTTCGTCTGGGGCGCTGACACGCTCATGATATGGTCGCTTATTACCAAGTTATATATTATGTACTACTAATATGGTAGTTTCCATAAATCCTTATGATGTTTATATTGAAGGTTAAACATTATTCCATATATTCTCGTATTTACCTATAGCCCATGATGACTTAGAACCGTTTGTTATAACTTTTTTTTGTATCATAAACTTTCTTTATGATCGACGAGAAAGCAGAAGCAGTTCCATGCCCTGTGGGTTACATTTAGTGATAGTGATGTTTACCTTCGTATTAACATTCCGTTCGTATGTTGATGATCTTTGGGACTACCTTGCACTCAGCCTTGATTTTTTTAATTGCCCTAAGCACAATTTTGAACGTATTCTTAGTTTACCGATCAGACTTTACTTCTGTAAAGGTTTGTATGGTGAAACCTAGTCAGACTTGACCCTAACTGGTGCGGTCGCAAACGTGCAGCTGGCAACTAGCGCTGTGTCAGTCGTGCATCTGGCAACGAATGTTTTTCCATCCCTCTCAGTCATCGCAAGAAAATCCTAAATTGAAATAATTATATTTCTAGTATTTTTCATATTATACAGTTCATTTTTCTACTAAAAAAAGAAAGCGGATGAGAGACATAACAATTAGCCGCATGGTATGTATAGGAACCCGGTTCTGTTTGTTCATTTTGGGATATGCCTAGTGTACAGGGCAGGGTGTCCCGTGGTTAAAGTTTAGAGTACCAGGACGGCAGGACCGTAGCAGAGCGGCGCAGGTTCGATCCAGGCTCTGTGCGATAGTTTCTGGTCAGAATCGGCAAGGAGGCCGGGCGGTTAAGCACAGCTGAATTGGAGCAGTGAGTTGCGAGTTCGAGACCGCAAAATGCTGGGAATGTTCTGCGATGTTGAGAATCGGCTACAGGCCTACGGCCTAATAAACGTGGGAACCGCTATTATTATTATATTATATTATAAGTCTTATGCTGATATTTTCCTGTATGCACGTGATTTCTTTTATTTCAATTACTGACTTGCATTGTTTGAATTCAGTTGTGAATTAGCTCTTCGTTTTATTTGAGGCTCCTTCATGAACTATCTCTACATCATTCATCTTTTTTCTGATGATGTAGCTACAGAAAGCCAGAAAAGTACGCTGCTCCAAGTAAATTCCGGAATTCGTATAAAAGCCGTTAAGGCCCCGGAATTCGGGCTATTGTCGAGAACAGATGGTTTTCACACGAATCACACCAGACTACCGTCTGACTACGGAGTAGGGTGAAGGTAAAAGTTTGTGTCAACTCACTGACAACTTGACAAGGCCTCAAGGGTGATGGGAGTAAACGTTTAAGCGCCAAATGCACTAAAGTATGTTCCTTTGTGCTAACTTGGAACATACTGATGGCACTGTTCCCCCAACTCAGCCAGTCANCGAGTCATTGTCACTGACTGGCTGAGTAGGCTGACTGCACATCAGTCAAAACTCGTGTTGCTAGGCTGCTGGCATTAATCAATAGAATTAGATAATGGAAACTATCTATATTTGAAACAAAATTTACCTGGTTCCCTAAAAATTTGTGGAATTTGAGTAGACTCTGCATTAAAAATTCTTGTAGAATAGGAGGCTCAGGAGTCAGGAGCTGTGCTCCATTTGGACTCTGCCACTCTGGACTTCACAATCACGTTCAGTTGTTCACTCAACGTCTCAACTTCACTGCCCTCTCAGGGGGGACTTCTGAGTTCTGACGTGTGTCTGTACTCGTCAGAAGTCCTATGGGATTTCGCGTTCCTAGGGGGATTGTTCCTAAGCGCCCCACTGCTGAGCTTGCGGTGTCTGACTGCAGATCTCAGTTGTGGGGTTAAGTTATTATGTAGGTAGGATTCCTTACATTTCCCTTCTCTGTCTCTCTCGTGCAGGCGGCCGACGTCCCGTGTAACTGTGTAAGCAACCTCTTGTTTGAGTGTCTTCGTTTCTGTTGCTTTTCACCTATCCCTCCTTGTCACTTTGTCTCTGAGATGCTAACACTGCTTCTTTCGTGCTAGCTTCAGCGGGCTGGACATCTAAGACCTTCCGCCCCTTGTGGCGTTGTGGGTGATGAATAATTGAGACCTTCCACGGTCCACCTCTATGGTGACATTCATCTTGACTTTCGGTGCCAGATAGGCCTAGCTAAATAGCTGAAGTGCCAGCAAACATTTGGCCACTAAACTAACTAACTAACTCAACTTCACTGTAGTGACTCTTCAGGGCTCAAACCTCAAACTTGGAATCACGGCTTCAAGCCTTCAAATCCATTAAATCACGGCTCAAAAAACCTGGTTAGGCGGTTGCAGTTCAGAGAGTAGATGTTTTCCTCACTAGTCACTATTCACTTGGCTGCAAAGAAAAGCAATGCAAAAGCCAACAATACTGCAGTCTGCACAGTGCACTCAATGTCTATGGCCTATGCTATTATGCTCTAAAGAGGGGTGCTTGGCAATCACAGAGCTCCAGGGGGAGGGGCATGTGATGAACGTTGTTACAAAAATACAGAGGCACGTAATGTTGAGTCACAGGGGGCACATAATGAATGTTGTATGTTGTTAGTTTTTACAGAGGTGCTGGCAGGGTGAAAACTAGGATTTTAGGAACATACTTGAGTATTTATTTCTACTGCCCAAGTTGATGACTTGGTGCAATAAGTTGGCAAACAAATTCCTTGCCAACTTCATGCCTATCAATCTCAAAATCATTAAAATGAAAGGCAGAATTACCAACAATCCAACATTAAAGGTAAACTGGAAAAAGTGGAACAAGGGGAATTTACACCAGGGAATACCTAGAATAAAAGCAACAGTAGAGACTGACTAGAGCTGCCAGGCAAACCTCTGTCCATGATCCATCAGCTCCTCATACTTGCCCACTTTCCTCCTGTGCCCATCTGTGAAGGTGTTTCTCTCTCTCACCTCTGCTCACAGTACCTTGCCAGCACCCTACAACCATACCATCCCAGCCACTCTATTGTCACCCAGGCATTGGGCTCATCCCGTGAAGCACACACTTCAGACCCACTTCCTTTGGTCTCTCACCTGCTGGAGAAGGGGTACCTCCCCCTGACTCCTACTCCACTGCCTTCAGCACCCTGCACAGTTCTGCCATCTACCTGGCCTCAGCAGCTCCTAACAAGGTGTTGCTGACCCCTGTCCCGGGACCCCCTCTATTTCGTCCAATGAGCTATCCCTCCCCAGGGCAGCCAGAAGCACCCTTCCCCAGCTCTGCTCTGACTACTCAACTTGGCTCAACTCATACCTTGCCCACATTGGTGCAGCAAATAGACCTCTCTGCCCTGAGTGCGGTGTAATTGACTATGCCACCCATCACCTCTTCAGCTATCCATTGCACCCCACTTTGCTAACCCTACTGGACCTCTGGTCTAACTCTGGACCAACTGCACCATTCCTCTCATCAGCCATTGCTCCCATCCTTCTCTGACATCCTTGGAGTGGATCCTCCACTCCCCTTTCCTCCCCTGGAGCCGCTGTTTTTTCAGGGGCACCTACAAGCATCAGTTCCAGGCAACTAACAACAACAACTAGAGAGGATCACCAAACCCGTGGCAGAGGCCATTTTGAAGAGAATTGATAGATTAGAGAGCAGCAGATTCACCAATGACATGACTGAAGCAGCAAAGATTGTACTTTATACAGCCCCTAGAAGTGAATCAGTTGAGATTCAGAGCATTGCTGATCAACAGGCAAAAAAATACAAATAACTGAGATGGAAGAGAAAAACAAATGTAAAACTAACCTTCAGATCTTCAGCATTGAGGAGGCAAGGATACAAAAGGCACAGCCAAAGAACAAAAAGCAAGAGACGGAGTGAGTGGAGCAAATACTAGGCAGTGTCAGGGCTCGGGGGTCCACATCAGCCAAATCTACTGAGAAGGATAGGTACGTCACCACAGAAAGAAGATTAGAGGTGACCAGGACATTTACCAGGTTGAGATTAGAGGTGCTCAGTAAAAATAGAAAATCAATTACTGGTAGTTGTTGCAGCAATAGTCAGCATGTGGCTACAAATCCATGCCTATCTTTTGATTTAGTTAATGGTATTGAATTGTTTACATTAGTGTTCTTGGCAGTGAACTCGTATTCCACAATGGACATTAGTTGATAATAATCCTTTGTCATTTTTTATTGTAACTGAGGTTTGTATATACATATTATTTTTCAGAGTCTCCCTAAATTGACAAAGTTGTGAATTTCCCTCAGATTGTTGTGTTAGGTATCATAAAATCCACTATGACTATTTATTGTGTATTTATACTGAGTAAATCAGGAAGTTTGATCTATCAGTTGGATCACAATATGCCCACTATCGAGCATGAAAAAACATTCAGTTATCCATTAGAGTTGAAGCTTGAAGTTCAGAACAGAAACGTCACTGTTGTGTATGGACAAAGAGATGGAATTAAAGGTAAGTAGAAACTTTTAATAATGCAGAGTTTCCACATGATTTCATATTTGTTTACAAACTTAACCAGCCCATTTTGTGTAACCTTTATTGTCAAGCAGGCTTGTTTTTTATTTTTATTTACAATGACACTATGTGGTACTAGGTATATCCTGCTGGCAACTCTTAATCATCTAGGTATATAAATCAATCAACTACTTGACTGCCTTGAATTGCAGTTGTCAATTAATTCCAGGTTCATTTCAATTACTATGCATTAAACACTGTTAGTCTTGATATTAAATTGTTTTTTAATGGGAAATTTTATTTATTTACACCAGTCAGCTCTGACAGTACCTTGGCTCTCAACTGAAAGCGAAATTATAAACCTTCATTCAATTTTAACATGTATCAAATTTTATTTGGTAGCAGAATTGAAATTTTCTTCTCGTATCATACTACACTTAAAAGTCCATGGTTTGTTGTCATAGTGGAAATATCATGGACACAGTTTCTTCATTATTTGCCATACTATGCTCACTCATTTTTTTTAATTACTAACTTGCCTATGCAATGTTAAGTATTACATTTATTTAATGGAATTCTTGATTGATAGGATTCAATGCAAGGTAAGAATATATATTTTTTCAAAGTTGCATTTATGTCTTTAAATCAAAGTGTTACATTGAAAATCATAAGTTATATAAAAATGTCTAATTAATGAACATGTTGCATTTTTCAGTTGGCCACATCCTGACAGCAGTTAATGGTATCAAAGTTACCAACACACAGCTTGATGATCAGAGAGATGCTATGCAAGTTCTCTCTGACCCTACCAATTTCCCCATCAGCCTAAAATTTACAAGACCTCGCTTGACCACAAATGAAAAAATTTTCCAGGTACAGTTCAAACAATTGGATTCGTTTTTCTTATCTGAAGGTGCAATTTTAATGGTCATTATTCCATGTAAACCTAATATAAATATTTAATTTTTATTTTGTTGAATGTTTATATTTTGAAATATTTCTATGAAGAATGTCATTTAGTTTAGGTTATCACCGAGGTGAATGAATTTTCACCTTTAAATCTGATCATACCATTATAATTATATATATGTTACTGATAGATTTTGTTATACATGTAGCCTTATAAAGTAGAAGCAAATGTTTCTTCAGTTGTATATGCAGAAGAGTTTGCTACTCCAATTCTCATTTTGAATGAGTTTATATATAGTTTTTGTGGAGAGGCTATTTATAGTTTTTTTAAAGAGATTATATATAGTTTGTTGTGAAGAGGTTATATATTTTTTTTTGTGAAATACCAGAGTTTGAAGTAAGGTGAAATAGAAACAGATTAATAGCTAGAAGTTCTTGATTTGTTTAATCCAAGATTAGTTAACTTATTTTTTATTTTCAGGCCTCCATGTTTTATCCGCTGTACATGATGGCTTGTCAGTTAAGTCCTGAGCCACGCAGCTCTGGCATTGAGGTTCTCACAGCAGACACCTTCAGAATGCAGTGTCTTCAAACACTCACTGGTCTGTAGTGTCTGCTTGTGGGTGGACTGTATTCTCCTCTTTAAATAGTCTGTTATGCAGTGTCTTCAAAGTTCAAACACTCACTGGTCTGTAGTTTGTGCTTGTGGGTGGAACGTATTCTCCTCTTTAAATAGTCTATTATGCAGTGTCTTCAAACACTCACAGGTCTGTAGTTTGTGCTTGTAGGTCGAACGTATTCTCCTCTTTAAATAGTCTATTATGCAGTGTCTTCAAACACTCACTGGTCTGTAGTTTGTGCTTGTGGGTGAACCACATTCTCCTCATTAAATACCTTATGCAATATCTTCAAGCAGTCACTGACCTGTGCTTAGCATATAAGTCATGGATTCTAGTAATCAATAGTCAATTATTTAGTTTCTTCAATTGTTCCCAATTTTTTCTGTTTTATGTGTCCCCCTATTTTTTCCATTTATATGGGATCATTCAATTGCAGCCTGCCTTCGGGCATTGCTTCCTGTGTCCTGTATATATCCCTCTTATTTAATATTTAATTAGAAATTCATGAAACAATTTTGGTGTAATTATTATCTTGTAGATTTCAATTATACCAAATTTTTAACTTTAATTTCAATATTATTTTGTATCCCTATTTCATAATTTTTCCCACAGGTATCAAGTTCATGGTCGTGGCTGACCACCAACAAGGCCCTCTGAATGCCCTGCTCCATAGAATATACGAAATTTATGCTGATTATGCCCTCAAGAATCCCTTCTACAGCCTCGAGATGCCCATACGCTGCGAGCTCTTTGATGAACACCTCAAGTCAACTCTAGACGCTGCTGGCAAAAGCAGTGGCTTAAATACTGCATAGTAGCAAATACCTTTTTAAGTTTGTTGATGATCTGCATTATGATGTTTAGTTTCTCAATTCTATTTTTATAGTTGCGCTGTCAAGGCTCAAACATCTGAAGCCAGGAACTAAGGAATGAAAAAACAGCAGCGTTTCCAAATTTTGTGAGACCTTGAAAGTTTTTTACTTTTATTGTACTAAGTGTTACCATAACATCATTAGTATCCAGTCTAAGGCATTCGTATCGAATAATTTTTCTGCGTTAAAGGCTCTTTCATCTAATATTTGCTGACAGCATTTCATTACAACTCAATCCGCGACAATGATGATGTCAGGCTTCCAGTTAAACGACAGTTGTCTATGAGAATTTATGAGTCCTGGCTAGGAGGAATGAACAGGGTTCTTTTTTTCTTGTACACTGCATCATTTACCCTAACCTGAACAAATATAATTACAACCTGTCTTATTGTCACTACAGTCCTTAACTTTAGTAATAATTTTATTCGTTTGCCAGAAAAGGAATTCATATTCTTGTACACTTGTTAAATAATTTATATCATAAATAGTTTTATCATTTGATGTATCATGCGTTAGTACGGTATTCTCATTGCATATTTATTATTATGTTACCTTTTTATTATATGATTAATTATGAACTCGGCCAGTTTTATTCATCCTTTTGACGATGTGAACTCCGCGTGATTCAGGTTGGAAAATCGATGTTGTTGGTCAGCTAAACTGTTAGAAATTTCCGTATTTCTTGAATCGTCCAAGTTGACGATCTTTTTTCTTAGTCTTAGATAGGAAGGGACCTGTTAACAGTTGAGATTCGGACGTGAAGCTGTTACGACCACTTAATTGTTGCTCCGGCAGGAGTTCATGAATTTATAAGTCATTCCTTGCTAATATATCATTTTTCGTTTGAGTGATCACTCTTAGTTTTCGTTGTTTATTTTTTGCATTTAACTGCATGTTCGAAACTTCTTTGTCTAGACTCTAGAACTAGAAGGCAAGACTCCGAACGCGCTTGGGCTTGGCCTTCATCTTAAATTAGTCTATTGGCCTGTGGCTTTTGAATTTCATTTAACGATTAAACTATTTAATAGATATTCCTTAACTGAGAGGAAGGACGAAGTTCTTCCTTAATCTTTACTGTAATTGCGTCGGAGTCTGCCTTTCTCCTACTAATTAATTTCCCTTTATATGGCCACTTAAAATGCCTCTTAGAATTTCAGCTTGAAGCCAAAGATTTTAAGGTGGGTTTAGGGATTGCGATTAATATTATATTGAGAAATAATTGAGCTTAAATTATACAATTCCATATTTACTGGATTTAAAGCGGTAGCATTCTATTTTTAGAATAACTGCAACTCCGGACTTGATCGACAATTCTACGGACTCGCCAGCGGACTCGCGCAACTGGGCCGCTCATAATTCCTTCAATACTTAACGGATCTGCATGAATTTTGGAATATGAGTATTAATTATCGATACGCTGCCGCAGGAATTATTACAGATTTTGCATGAATTATTTCCTAACCTAACCCAATAATAAGTCATGTAAAAATCTGTAATAATTCCTGCGGCAGCGTATCGATAATTAATACTCATATTCCAAAATTCATGCAGATCCGTTAAGTATTGAAGGAATTATGAGCGGCCCAGTTGCGCGAGTCCGCAGGCGGGTCCGTAAAATTGTCGATTGAGTTAGCTCAAGCTGTTATTTTCCATGAGAATGTTGTCTGTGGCAGGCGACAAACTGCTTCGAGCGGCGACGATTTCGAAATAAAATCGTTCGTGTTAATTGCCTTTGGTATTAAGCCTAACAAAACCAAAAAAGTTAAGCTCTTAGTAATATTATAGATCTTTAATCACAGCGAGTATTCCTTCTACATTAATGCTTCAACCCGTCCGAATAAGGTTTGATGTGTACTCGGTACAATGGCTACTTAAAAGCACACAACCAATTCAATTGTTATTATTAAATTATTAGGTTATATCCCGCATAACCCGCAAGTTCTGAGCCCCTGACCATCTCTGGCAGCCATTATGGTCTGCTAATATGTAGGAGGTTAGTACACTACCCACACGAGATTGGGGAGGTCACTGCCTTGCAAGGCGTCTTCTATCTGCCGCGGGTGCCCGCTGGCCAAATTTTTAGGAGTCGCGCAGTGTTCATTCAGTCTCAGACTCTCAGTCTCAGCCTCTCAGTGTGCTTTGGCACTTGAGCTGCAAAGGAGTGTGTGTTGGTGGCGTTCTCGCTGTCAATTGAATCAACAGTATTTCTTGCTCAGTGGATGTACTCATATAGCATTTTGCTAATTTATAGTTTTATTTTGCTACAAGAATGGGCTGTACCTATCGATTTTAAATTTATTCAAATTGGTTTTCGTAATTCAAGTTCAATGTGTACTAGACAGAAATTAAATGATTTAAGAACAACGATGCCACTTTTTGGCATTTATTTCCCTGCCCACTTGCATTTGCTGTTGCCTAACTCTATAATCGATCTATTATATGATTTTTGTAATTCTATGATTGATGTAATTCTCGCCTGATGAATTGAGAAAACCTTGTTTAAAGAAAGGCGTTCGTTGCACCATTTGATATTCCCGAGGTTTATTACTTATTTTTATGCTGTACTCAATATATTTCTGTTAAATTAAAATGATGACACAATCGCACCAGCGGGAATCAAGTTGTAAATTTCCGTTTTGATTTCAGCTTCTATGTACGAGGAAGATATTTGATGCGTAAAAGCGTCAGTTCTCACGTGGTGCTATAGAATTTCCCATTTCCTAATAACACACATCTTTCCTTTGCATTTAAGAAGCCTGCGAGCCTGTCGATGAGCTTGCTGTTATACTTTTATGCTACATTTTTTACAAAATATTTTATGATCAAGGAACATTTAGTGGCCTCATAAATGTTAGCTTCAGTATAGAATGAATGATATACCGGTATTCGGTATGCTGCAATACTGATAAGTCAAGTAGAAACAGCCCGGTACAAATGGCAGCTCTTACAGGGCCGCGCTAGGAGTGATACCGGCGTAATTTTAGCCCCTGTCCATCACAGGCTTCGAGTGCCGTGGCGCGCTCTCTGATTTTCAAGCTCCAGCCTCGAAAATTGTATTTATGTTCCATGTTTCACTCATATAATGATCACTAGCACATTAGTGATTAGTGTATGTAAATAAGCATATAAATAACTAGTTAAGAATAATTTCTAGTTAATAATAACATAAAACTGAACTTGTTAGTAATGTTTCGATTGCTACGCAACTGAATTAGTGACTGATGCTTACTAGCTAATTAGACTCATTAACTAGTGATTAGTATATATAAATAACTAGTGAAAAATAATTCTATAAAACTGAACTTGTTGGTAATGTTTCTATTACTACGCAACTGAATTAGTGACTGATGCTCACTGGCTAATTAAACTCATTAACTAAACAAATAAATAATAACTGAACAATACTGCTATTATTCGGCAGAACTCATAAATGCCTTTGCAATATTGTTCTAACGATCCTTCCCTAACCCATTACGTACTAATGAGCGTCGAAAAATCATCAAACCATTTTTTCAATTTCCTGTAAAAATTTTCAAGTGTAGGAATTCAATACTAGAATTCGAGGAAGGAACCATCGGAATTTGCACTCGTCGCTGGGTAGAGTTGAGCGAGGACGGTAGAGCGCGAAAAAAAGATATGTTGAAGAATAGAACCGGGATTGCAAGGTACGCCGCGTAGAACCTGTTTCAACGGAGAGCTTGTTGCTAGATGGCAGCATGGGCCAGCACGAGCAATGTAACCTCTTGTTGTACCGCCTGAGTGGTCCTATATTGGTTCACTTTTTAAAGTGTTATTTAAAGCCGAATTGTGGATAATGTGGTGTAGAGACTCGGGCTCTCTCAGTTGAATGCGTTATAATGAACGATTCGCCGGCAATTTTTATTATTATAATTTTTACGCTTAGATTAAGTACTACTTACTATTAATTTCATTATTCGGACTAGAAAATATAATCGAATCAAATTCATGTGATAAAATCCGTCCCCTTGAACGAGACCAATACGTAGTTGACTTCTTTCCGAATTTTAGTATTTTTGGTCATTTCCAAAGAACCTCGTATTTGAGTAAGTACCCTGCCCAACCGAAATGAATTGGACAGAGTTTTTCTAATTGTACGATTGCATTTCTTTCTATAGCTTGTACGATGTATGCCTTGTACATGAAGGGTTTAGTTAATGCATGGATTGAAGAGACAAGTGAGTGAAGAGCGTGGATCTTTCCCCTTCCTCAATAATTTGCCTTGCAATTTGGCCGTATGCTTCAGGACAGACGATTTTATTGTCAATAGCAAATATTTACTTCTCAAGCAATGTTTACTAATTTACATATGTATTTTTATGCGGATTTTTATATCCACGCGTCCTAACTTTTTATTCCAGTAATGCATTCAGACAATATAAAAAGAAATTTATCTCACCAGACACCGTGCAAACTAAAGCGGACGGTTCATGGTAAGAGCCAAAAATTCTAACATATTTGTTAAGTGTTCGACACGGTAACTATCACCGATACCTATTGTCCGGAAATTTAGCGAATCTTTGAATTTTATCAACATCATCGACATCGCACCTGCATCAAAATTTTAGGTCATCGGTTGATCTTGACGATAAAATTGTGCTTCTAAACAATTGATTTATAATGTTAATGGCAATCAACCTTGAAGACTAATGTGGGCCGTAAGAAAGCACTAATCCTTTCTCTTTCTTCACTTACAGGCTTCATATCTCAGTAATATGAATAACTAAAATTTCATATCTCAATAATATGAATAACTAAAACTTATCGCAACTGATCCATTTGTATACACACTAGATTGGAGCTCACACACGATTTATAAAGAACTTTGTGGTAACTTCTTGTGCGCTTCTGAACATTTTATAGCTTAACAGCCCTAATTTTTGAAACCTCAAATCCTTCATGTCATTATTGTCAGCCCATCTTATAATTGATTCACTAAAAGACAAATTAACTAGCAAATTTCTCTCCGTGCGTCGGATTTTTGTATTCTGTCGGGGATTTGGGTCTTTTGAGCATCGGACCTAATTTATTTGGAATAAAAAAGTTAATGCATTATAACACACAATGGGTAACAATTGCTCAGCGTGTTGTTCTCCCCCTGGAAGCCAGTCGTGTTGTGACACCTGTGAACAAATTTGTTGCGTGTGCCCGTGTTGCTGTGTGTCATTCCAAAGCTGTTGGAGTAGGATGTTTGGTCGGCGTCCTCCCGAACTCCATCTTCCGACAAAACCGGATCCGGATGAGAGACCAAAGCCATCCGCACTTCAGGACCTCAGAGACACAAGTGAGTTACGTCGTGTTTTTTTCGATGTAAAAAGTTTTTACAGGTAATATATGAATACAAATTGAATTAATGCATCTGAGATTTTGGAAAAAATGTTGATGCTTCTTTGGGATTTTTGATATTTGGCTCTGGCCATGGTCACGCTGGTGCGGCGCATTCAGAATATTTTTCATTGAGTATTAATAATTGTACAAAGTCGGCATTGGTAATCTATCTATATATCTGGGAGCAAAGACTCCAAAGAACTCTATTGCATCCGCTCGTAGCGCTGCTACATGCGTGATGCGTGCAACTGAGGAAATGCTAATGCTCTGCAAGAAGCAATATTTATAGAACTGATGAAATTGCTACTTTTTAAAGTTATCACACGAAAGGAGTCCGTATGATTATATTGTGCTCTTTTTACGCATATTCTGCTGAGATTATACACATGCACAAAGGATTCTACTCGTACGTGGGTCACGAATCAAGGACTGGCATGTAGGCACCACAGTACCTAAATTGTGTCAATCGGCGTCTATTCAGGGCAGGTTTAGCCCATTTACGAAATTTATTCATGCCATCTGTGTTGCTTTCTTGTATGTCTCAGCCATCCTGTCAATCTGTCTGCATTTAACCAGAAACCGTACAACCGCTTGCGTTTTTTATCCGATTCTAACTTTCCTCCATAAATTGTGCCTTCGATATAGTCTTTGTATTCTATAAAGAAAATCGCTCTTATGTGTAGCATTGAAACACCCGGCTTGACACTACAGTGAGCGATCTATTCATTATCAAGTTATCAAGTGCATTCAAATTTATCAAGTGCATTCAAATGCTCTTATAGGTGATAATTTACTAAAAATTTAACTTTACCTATCTACACACAATGAAAATGTTCCGTTAATGATCGGGTAATGGCTTTCAATTAAAATTACTTTGAATGATGTCTGATTATAATAACACGAGGGGACTTCCAATGGACTCATTTTTTCGGAATTTTTAACTAAATAATTCATCATTCATAATAATAATTATGATGAATTAATAATTATAATAATAATTATTAATAATAATTCATCATTCATAATAAGCAATTCATCTACATCCTGCTTCGTGCTTCCGCTCGTTAAATAAACATGTAATTGCATTTATTACCGTACGACTGGTAAAGTTATCTCGCACTCCTCTGCAATCTGTGCTAAAATAAACACGCTATTCACCTGTGCTAAAATGAACACGCTATTCACCTGTGATACAATGAACACGTTATTCACCTTTGATAAAATGAACACGCTATACACCTGTGATAAAATGATCGTTATTCACCAGTGCTAAAATGAACACGTTATTCACCAGTGCTACAATGAACACGTTATTCACCTGTGATAAAATGAATACATTATTCGCCAGTGCTAAAATTATAACATGTTATTCAGCTTTATATCGAACGTTTGGGCAAGCACCGGAATACCTGAAATGAAGTTAATATCTGAAATGGAAAATAACTTATTTCGTTTAAATATTCCTTTAATTATTACCCGTTATTATTGAATTAAAGAATCCTGATAACATATGATCTTCAATTTGATTTGACCAGTAATAAAATGAACATGTTATTTAGCCGCACATATTGATCGCTCTGGCAAGCACTTCACCCCTCGCTACCCTCAGATGCGTGGAGCTTCTAACGGTTAATTTCCTTCCTGTTTTTAGCCTTGTGTTGATTTTGGCAATGCTTGTGCGTATACTTCAGTGTTAATTAGCTCGGTTGGGTGCGGGTTAATTAGCTCAGCAGCCTCAACGTAGTTAATTAATTGCGTGGAACTTCTATATCGCCACGTATCAATCATCATTCAACGTAAAGCGTCTGAAATTTCCCCGCTGGCCGGAAACTGCAATACGATCATGCAGGCTATTTTCGCCTAACAATTTCAGATACAATCATAAAAACTAGCAATTAGAGACATAAATTAGCTTAATTGAGTAAAGTATATATATATAGTATATATATAGTATGACGTGCGGGGGCTGACGTTATAGACGAGCAGGCGCTGACGCTGCGTATCATCGATACGTACGTCAAGTCATTCTTAATCAAGTCATTAGATAAATGTGTAGATTTGATTTTTAGTCCGATTTGAATTGTGTAGCAACGGACTAAAAAGGAGAAAATAAAATACTTAAAAAAACTTAAAAAAACACGTTTTTCTTGTGGACTAAATAGTAGAAAATAAATTATGGTTTGCCCCAAAAAACGTGGGTCGGGCTGTACGTTCACCATCAAATTTCCAAAATTTTTGTGTTGTGTGCTTTTCGCTTTAATCATAAATCTGCCCGACACACGTTTTTTGGGGCGAGCCATAATTTATTCCTCAATATTGTAATAGTGCAATAGATGAAATTTAAAATTCGTCATTTTCGCGAATAAGTTGAAATGTTTCTTTGATATTTACGAAAGCTTGTATTGTGAGCTGAACTCATTCTTGGCTATATCCATAATGCAGCAATAAATACTGTTCGAAGTCTATGTTATTCTAAGTATAAATTTTTAAATAAGCACGAATATAATACTTCATAAATTTGTCTTTACTATTTATAAATACATAAATACTGAATGTTGTTACATGACCTGTAAACATAATTTCACAAGCCCTTAAACAATTCTTGAAGTGTTCTGGGTCTCCGGCAAGTTCATTGGTGCATGTTTAGTAAACATTCTTAAGCGATGTTGACTGTAGGTGTGTGAACATGTTGGTAAATGTCAACAACGCAGAGGCGATATCAGCAATACATGCTTCACACTTCATTTCAGCCTTATGCACATTTACTTTGAATCAACATTTGAAAGAGTGAGCTGCAGGAAGATTGCACATTTTGGCACAAATTACTCCCTATATTGAGACTTTATTAGTTTCTATAAATATTTACACAACTTACGAAACAAAAACAATATGTATGTATTACCCTTAAATTACTGCATACGTATTTTCCTGCCAACCTTACACGGAACAAATAAGATACAAGTTGATTTCTTACTTTTTACGTATATTTTTGCCAATACCTTACAAGTAACATTCAGTATGCTATACGATAATTACGTGAATGATTGTTAGAAATTACTGCCAATCCCGAACATAAAAAAGCAGAGACATGTTGATTACGTACATGCTGTACGCAAATTATTACCTGTCCCGTATGAAACACTTAAGATAAATAAATAATAATTCCGTGCATGCCAGACACACTCGTATGTGCGCGCAACACTTGAATGAATAATTAGTACGTTAACTAATAACTTATAATAATAACTAACAATTCCGAACGTTAACTAATAACAAACGTGCGTCCAAATTACGTACCCGTACATTATGACGTCATTGCCGCAGTTCGTTGGAACAGGATGACTGAAGTGGGAGCGCAATATCCTGTATGGATGTTATCTATTGCATCATAGCAGCACACAAGTACATCATGAACATGTGGGTGCACTTGTCATGAACACGTGGGTGCACTTGTCATGAGCATGTGAGTGCACTTGTTATGAACACGAGGATGCACTTGTTAAGTTCAAATTTATTTTATATTCAGATTGATTGAGTTTATTATAAATTAATTCTGTTTATCATTTGACATTTGTTGATAAGATAAACTGATTTTAACTAAACACATTTCAAAGATTCATCAATCATCAAAGATGGCAAAAAACAACTCGTACTTTTACTGGACCCAAATCATTATAATAAACTAATACCAACTCATCCTTATTTATTGTCTATTTTGGGATACTTGGTTTCTTTGTACACGAAATAACACAAGAATTTTCACTCCTGCACTTGGGTTTCTTCGGTGGCGCGTAACTCACATGGCTGCATGACTGCATTACTCGCCTCTTCTTCACCGCGCACTTCCTTCTCCGCCGCATGCCTCAGATGTCGCTGCAAAAGGTAAAATACTGTATTTTTAACAATTACGCGTTAATTAACAAGTTTAAATTATAAACAATATTATTTAGTAAATTGTTTGTTATGAATACTTTAAACGATTACTACGTGTCTTAAAAAATTTGAAGGAAAGACATTCTGAAACAAATTTTAGCCATGGTAATACGCGGAAAATGCTCCAGAAAGAGAATGTGTTTTTAATAAATCCGGATTATTTTTTGAGAAGTGCTGAGGTCACTAGAGGAGTGAAGTGATGAGGTCAGTAGAGAAGTGAAGCGCTGAGGTCAGTAGAGAAGTGAAAGTCTGAGGTCAGTAGAGGAGTGAAATCCTGAGGTCAGTAGAGGAGTGAAGAGCTGAGGTCAGTAGAGGAGTGAAGTGCTGAGGTCAGTAGAGGAGTGAAGTACTGAGGTCAGTAGAGGAGTGAAGTGCTGAGGTCAGTAGAGGAGTGAAGTGCTGAGGTCAGTAGAGGAGTGAAGTACTGAGGTCAGTAGAGGAGTGAAGTACTGAGGTCAGTTAAGAGGAGTGAAGTGCCGAGATCAGCAAAGAGTGAAGTGCTGTGGTCAGTAGCTAAGAGAAGTGCTGAGGTCAGCAGTGCCTGCCCTCGGGCAGTTCGAAAACATCATCAAGTTTGTTTGAGCCCCACGAGCATAAACACCATCAGCGACATGCCCAAACGTCAGCTCTTATCGCGCTGACTCAGCCTAGCTGGCCGTGTTCCCTTAGGATAGTTGACATATCGCGTTGTGACTTGTAACCTGAGCTGTACGTTTTCCTGTTGATTTTTTTTACTTCGAGACTGTCTTGCAACGTATTCAGTATCTTTTCTTATTTATTTTTATGCTTTGAGAATATTTTGCTACGTATGCAGAAGGTTTTTCTGTTTATTTTTAAAACTTTGGGACTATTTTTTTTCCAAGGTATGCAGTTTGTTTTGTTGAAGAGTCTTTCAATTGACATGTTCTCATGAATATTTTCATCATTCTAAGTCTTCGACGTTCTTCAGCAGATTANTACAAATCTACCTAATAACTTTACAAATTTCTCCTTCTGGAATATTCATTTAAAAACCTTTCTAATATCACCTCAATATTTGTCATAAAAAAAATCTTTCTTCTACTGTTCCTAATTCCGCCACCTCCAGATCAACTCCCCCGATGACAGCGGTGTGCTAGTGGGCAACTGGTCAGGCAAATACGAAGGGGGAACTGCCCCCACCGAGTGGAATGGTTCTGTAAACATCCTCACCCAGTTCTACCAAACCAAAACCCCCGTCAAGTTCGGCCAGTGTTGGGTCTTTTCCGGCGTCCTTACGACAGCTTGTAGGACCATCGGACTGCCATGCAGACCCGTGACAAATTTCTCTTCGGCCCACGACACCCACAACTCCCTCACCATCGACTACTTCTTTGATGATAAGGTGAGTAGAGCGTGGACAATGCATACTAACTTCAATATTACTGCCCTGAGCAAAGGCTTGCAGTTGAAAGTTGGTAGTTAGAGTGGTCAGTAAAGTTGAACATTTATAGGACCTGGCAGATGCAGGGTATGCGATTGTTATCTAGTGGGCACGATAAAGATATTAATTAGCCATATCTGTTACGAAATGAGCTGGTCTTATTTCGGATAATTCTAACCAGAATGTTGTCAGGTGACAAAGGTAGATGTGTATAAGAGACAGGTATTTATGTACTAAAGTTGTTGGATAACGTGTAATTGAGTTAAATTATTTGCAAGGTAAGAAATAAATGTCCACTAATGGATTGTTTGGTGCAGAATAAGTACCAGTGACGACTAGTTTTGGCCTATTCGACTCTGATAAAATTATTACTATAACTACAACCATTACCATAACTACTGCTATTACTTTTATTATTACCATTATTAATGGAATGTCTGGTGCAGAATACCTGGCGGTGACAGGCTGGGACTGGCAGAGGAGCGAGAACGGCGCCGCCCATCGTACGGCAGACTATCATCTCATGGATGCCAAGGACAGGTAAACAATGCAATAATATCATACAAATAAGACACTCATTAATTGTTATTATTATAAAAATAAACTTTAAAAATGTTATTATATGTACTGAATCGTATTAAAATAACATCGAAATGTTATTATAGGTGCTGAATCGTATTAAGTATTTCTGTGGCCGTCGTGTTTAGACTGCACGGTTATCTTTAAAGCGGCCGTATTCTATAGCTTCGATTAATTGATGATATAATATTCTCGATAATGTTGCTACTTTGTGTAATTAGAGTAATTTTTGGGGGAGAGGAATAATGCCGAACCTCCAAACTAAATAATTTTTTATATCATCAATAATGATGATTTAAATTAAGTTATTTTTATTAAGTATTAAAGGATATATGTTAATGCTGCTATACGTCATAAGTTTAAAAAACTATGCACGCTATCAAATGATAATGAATTCCATTTGACATGATATGTTCTACTCTCCTTGATTTCTTTAGAAAATTTAGACCTATTAATAATTTACCCGAAATTCGAACAAAAACTGACCTGTGAATTACTTTAGAGCGTGATGAAATTTAAATTTGATGGAATTAGGTATTTTTTGATTGCGTAAGACATGCAAAAAATATCGACAAATTTTTTACATTAGAAGTTAAGTAAATTTCTATCCATCATTTGTTTGTTATTTGGTCCTTTTACTCGAGTAATTTTCTCTATGTTTTCATTTAACCCCAGTTCTTTTGATTTACCTGCCTTTAAAACATAGACTCTTTTTAAATCAATGATTTTGTAGCAGATATTGCTAGAATTTAGTCTGTTCTTCAATTGCATGCAGTTAATACCTGAAAATTAAAAGCCTAATATTTGGTTGCAATATTTCTTCAAATATAAATTAATATTTCATTGGAGAATCTAGAAATGAAATGATTGGCGACTGGATGGAAAATTGAAACAGAATCGCTAATCGTGAATTAACCAACACGACTTCCCGATCGTGAGTTCAAGCTTCCTAACCAACACATTTATAAATTTATTATTTTTTACTAATAAGTTTACTGTAGATTTTTAACTGTAACGAGAGTCTAAAGTAGATTTTTAACTGTAACGAGAGTTTACAGTAGATTTTTAACTGTATTTACTAACGAGTTTGTTTTTGTTCTTTTCATTCTTCCCTTATTTTCTTCTTTTCCAATTTCCGTCATTACTCATCTCTCTCCTCCCGGCCATTCACTTGTTCTCTTCTCCCTCCGATGCTTTAATTCATTTCATACGTTATTATCTAATGAATTTTGCTTTTGCAATTCACTACTACGATTGTAACTCCCTGCTTCACTTCACACATTACTTGTACCTGAACTCAAACGATTCGCGTGTGCGCAATTTTGATTTGCATTTAATCGTTTTCTAATTAATTTTCCGAGATGTATATATTATATACGTATATTATATATTAACCACGCTATACGGTGATTATAATCACTCCTTCATGGAACAAATTTTTTCTTAAAAATCGCATTTTAATGCATCACGGCCTGCCTTAATTACATCGTTTTCGGGGTCTTTTAATTCTGCCTTATGCTCCTTTCACGCCGCCTTTTTCTTCTTCATGGGCACCCTTCGCTCCTTTCCCCTTCTCCCTCTTGACCCCCAGCAGCGGCGGTGCAGTGGTGCGCAGAGGGCAGCCCTTCAGCCTGCGGCTCACCACCAACAGGCGCTACGACGCCAACAGGGACAAAATCGGCTTCGTCTTCACCGTTTCCGGTGCGAATATGCAAATTTAAATAGAATTTAATAAAAATGTAATTAGATGTAATACGACTTTTATTATATGAAACAAAAATTCAATGAAATGAAGTACAAATTTAAATAAATGAAATACGAATTTATTGAAATGAAATACAAATTTAATTGAATAAAGTAAAAATTTAATTATATGAAATAAAAATTCAATTAAATGAAGTATAAATTTAATTATTTGAAACAAAAATCTAATGAAATGAAATACAATTTTAATTAAATGGAATAGAAATTTAATTGAAAGATATACAAATTTAATTGACTGAAATACAAATATAATTAAATGAAATGCAAAATTTAATGAAATGAAATGATATTTAATTGTATGAAACAAAAATTTAATTATATAAAGCAAAATTTTAATAATTGAAATACCAATACATTATAATTAAATGAAGTAAAAATTTAATTATGTGAAATAAAAACTAATTATATGAACCCAAAATATAATAAAACAAAAAACAAATTTCATTAAATGAAATACAAATTTTATTAAATTAAATAAAATTGTAATTAAATTTAAAGTTAGAAAATAAAATTTAGATACAATTTTATGAAGCTTTGTTTGATTTCGAAGTAATTTGAATGATGGATGATGCCTGAGTTCGAATTTTGCTTGTTATGCAAGATTTTTTTTTTTCGCGATGGTTGTTAAAAGAGTCTGATCGTGACGATCGTTTCTGATCGTCACAATTATTCTTTGACTTCACTAGGGGAATTTTGACTGAACTTTAAAGTAAATCTTCCTAAGAAAACTATTCTGCTTTTGAGTGTTAAGAATATTGGGGTAAAGAGCAGACAATTGTTTAATGGGAATTATAATATGTGGAAATATTTCTTATTTAAATCTTCAAAAAAAAAATTTCAATCTTCAATCCCTTTTCAACTTGTGCACCATCTAACATTCACAATTTTAGCTATTATTCTCAAAAATTCATCAAATTTGAACAATTGAGATGAAATTTTTCACATTATGTTTATATTTTTATTTTCAGATTATTATAAAATTTTGAACAATTTAGATGAAAATTTTTACATTATTCTTATATTTTTATTTTCAGATTGCAAGAACCCTAACTTTGGCAACGGCACCCAAGAGGGGGTGTCGGTGGGTGGGGAGATGCTGGGGGGATGGTCTGCTAAGATCCACAGCGTCACAGACTCGAGCATCTCTCTTGAGGTTGGGGAGAATTACAGACGTCTTATAGGTGGCCAACTCCTAATCACCCTTCCCCCTTGTGTAGTTTAATTTTGGTATAAGGATAATTGAAAAGCACGCCGGAAAATTTGCATTCATGGACCTGAAAAATAATTTTACGTTCAAAATCAGTGTAGGGCATTACATGAAACATCGTTATTTTTTACAATTTATCCATTGTATTTCTTCGCGCATTCAGAGAAATGAGTGACATTTTGTCCAAATAGCGATGCACGTTTTGATCGTGTGCGAGTCATTGTAATCCAGTTTAGCCCGGCATAAGGGTTTAACAGAGCTACGTGCAAAACGTATATAATTATTTGGACAGTACAACCCTTGCATTTTGTATCGGGGGCTCATTAAATATAAACATTTTAACATTTTTCAAATATTATTGGTTGAAATATCAATTTGTTAGCCCTTCACGTACCCGTAGCCGTCTAATCCACTAACTTCCCCCCCCCCCAAATTGAACCCAGGCGCTCACCCGTAGCCGTTTAAGCTCACCCGTAGCCATTTAATCCACTAACTTCGCCCCCAAAATTGAACCCTATCACGTACCCGTACCCGTAATCCAGTAACTTTACCCCAACGTAAGTGTCGTGCCCACAGCTGAGCAGCCCCCCAACCAGCATCATCGGGGCATGGAGGGTGGAGGTAGACATCAGCAGCGACGATGCTACCCACAACTTCACGTGCCCGTACCCTCTGTACATCGTGTTCAACCCCTGGTGCCCCGGTGAGTGCGTCGTCTTCATATTTATTGGATTCGATTTACGGTATTGATTATTTGCTGTGCAGCGAAAAATAAGCACATGGAGAAGTTAGTCTATGGTGGTGTCTATCTTTTACCTTTGTGAACGATGGATATCAATAACTATTATCAATTAATTTATTCATTTATATTCGTTTTTATTTTAGTATATATACCGATTACCGAGAGAGTAATTGCACAGCCACGTCTTGGGTACCGTAGCCGCCTTGGTAACATTAGAGTCCGGCCTTACTGCAGTAGCAGTGACGTAGTGCGAGGTTAGGTATGGCGACTTAATTAATGGCGTATGGGTGAGTTGGTAACCGGTGACTCAGTGAGTCGGACTGTCGGCATCGGGATTCGGGGCGACGGCAACTTGGAGAGTTGGAGTTAGTCGTGTTCTGCCAGCCGTTTAGTAAGGTGCTATCTGGGCTCACTCCACTCTACTAACTCTCGGTGATTCGTGCTCTAGCGGTAGATCTTGTGGTTGTACCTTGAAGGCTTTATTGAGATTCTTAAAAAGTTTTTCTATCACGTTGGAACTATGTAAAGTGTGCTTCTATTAACTGGTGATTCTTCTGAAATTAAATCTACTTTTTTTCGTGCAAAATGACGTTTTAATGAACATCGTAAAATTGTACTACAAACCCCATTGCTTAAACTGTGATAGAAGACTTACTAAGATTGGTCTTTTAACAAGACAGTTACCGGCGTTTAGTTTAACTGCAGAGCTCGAACCTTCTGACAATACCGCGGCGATGAGGTGCAGCGAACTTTCGGTGACATCTTCGTAATTGCAACCCTGACGAGAAGTATAGGTGCTCCACAGTTCACGAAGAAGATTAAACATCGTGATGTTTTTGTCTTACGAAATTATTAAAGCCTTCCCTTCCACTACAGTTACTTGCATTTCAGTAGACTACAAGCACACAATTTTACCACATGAACTATGCAAACGGAACTGCCAACACCATTGAGACCAAAGCAAAAATTCACCACGAAACAGGATTTTTAACGTGTTTACTTTGAATTCCTATTTCTTCCCATTTGCGTGTTATCTTACAAAATACAGGTATTGGAATTTCACTACCAACGGTGGACAACACATTACTGACTGCCAGCAGGAAATTTCGGACTCTGAAATCTCTCAAATTAATCTCAGTACAACAAGCAGTTTTATATTTGTCGGTGGCCTTCGTGATTTAGAGGATCGGCTTGAATTACCGACGTTAAAAGAGTTGTTATCTTGAAAATACCACTCGAAATTTCTTTACTTTACTTCTTCGGTAAACCTAATACTTTACTATCGGACTCACCCTCCCCATCTCCCATATGACACCTCATTTCTCGAGCTCGATATGGGGAGTTCGGGCCACTCGCTCAATCGGTTGTCATGATTCTATTTTCAAGAAGAACTTTGGTAACCGTTACCGAGCCCCTTCTAGGCTTCTCCTCCTCACATTCTCTCTTTACGTGGTCCAGAGGACGCGACGTTCATCGAAGGCGAAGAGGAGCGCAAAGAATACGTCTTGCAGCAGACCGGTCTTATCTGGCGTGGCACGCACAACCGCCTGCGCCCGTGTGCATGGCACTACGCGCAGTTCCACGAACACGTGCTGCAGTGCGTGCTTATGATGCTCACCGAAGTGTGCCGCATGTCTACACCTAACCGGGCTGACCCTGCAAAGGTCGCCCGTGCTATTTCCGCTGGGGTTAGTACAATGTTCTTATCGAACAATATCTTAGATAAAAGATTTTTGTTCATGTTAATCAAGATAAGTTAGTAAATCTTGTCTTCGTTTATTACTCATCCTGCTCATGTTTTTGATTGTCATGTTTTTTATTATTAATTTTTTTTCATTTTTTAACACGTTTTTATTGCGTTCAGAGTTATGGTAGCTAGTTCATCCTGACAATGAAAGAAAATGTTGTCAGCTTTTTCCTGAAGATTTTCATCAACTTTCTGTCACAATTTAATCTAGCAACCACTTCACACGTTTTTTTACTGTAACCATCGCACGATCATACCAGCAAAAGCTCACATTCTAATATCTTACTTTCTGCCTCTGGCATCGAAACACCAATATGAAATGTTCATTGATCGAATTATTCTCCTAATAGCTTTACAAATCTACCTAATAACTTTACAAATTTCTCCTTCTGGAATATTCATTTAAAAACCTTTCTAATATCACCTCAATATTTGTCATAAAAAAAATCTTTCTTCTACTGTTCCTAATTCCGCCACCTCCAGATCAACTCCCCCGATGACAGCGGTGTGCTAGTGGGCAACTGGTCAGGCAAATACGAAGGGGGAACTGCCCCCACCGAGTGGAATGGTTCTGTAAACATCCTCACCCAGTTCTACCAAACCAAAACCCCCGTCAAGTTCGGCCAGTGTTGGGTCTTTTCCGGCGTCCTTACGACAGCTTGTAGGACCATCGGACTGCCATGCAGACCCGTGACAAATTTCTCTTCGGCCCACGACACCCACAACTCCCTCACCATCGACTACTTTTTTGATGATAAGGTGAGTAAAGCGTGGATAATGCATACTAAAATCAATATTACTGCACTGAGCAAAGACATGCAGTTGAACGTTGAGAAGGTTGTAGTTAGAGTGGTTATGTGAGGTTGAGCATTTATAGGAACTTGCAGATGCACGGTATGCGATTGTTATCTAGTGGACACGATAAAGATATTAGCTAATTAGCCATATCGGTTACGAAATGAGCCGGTCTTATCTCGGATAATGCTAACCAGAATGTTGTCAGGTGACAAAGGTAAGTGCAACAATTATATAGATGATTACATCCTTGTTTAGGATTCCAACGGAACGATGTCAACTTTGGAACTAACATGAAAGTTCTATTCCAAAAAATTTTGCGCTAGAAATTTTTCCCGGTTATGACGGGTTCCAACTTTTGTGGTGTATTTCTAAAGGTAAACCTGATTCAATTTCAACTCTTCTCAAATATTATGCTGTCATTTCCTCAAAAGTGCTTAGCTGCTATATAGGCCCTACTAAAAGAAATTATACAGATATTAGCGGACTCTATTCACAGGGAGAAACCATCGAGAGACTAAACTCGGACTCCATCTGGAACTTCCACGTGTGGAACGAAGTGTGGATGAAGAGGCCGGACTTGGGCGAAGAATATGGCGGATGGCAGATAGTGGATGCCACTCCACAGGAGGAAAGCGATGGTGAGAAATCTTTGTATTTTTTGTTCATTTCAATGCACTAATAAGTTGGCTATCTTTAACAAGTATTAGTTTTATTTATGTTTTTCGATATGAATCAGTTTTCGTTGTTGTAGCAGCCATTTTGATATAAAAAAATTTGCATGTTCCGGTTCAATCTTCTAAAACGTTGAGAACTTGTTCCTTTGCAGTGTTTTTTTGCTAATTATTGAGAAATGTCATAAATTTTTAGATAGATTAATAAAAATTTCATAATTTTTCTACATTTTGATTTCTCGTTTATGAGAATATGCCAGGAGGTTCACATAAGCCAGCAATTTAAAATTTAAGGACGGACTGAAGAAGTAGTATAACAATTACAATGCACGGAAGAGTAATCACTTATACAGAGTTAGTTAAATCGGTGAAGATAATCAGTACTGTAATAAAATGTGTTCTCAGGTCAGTATAGATGCGGGCCGACGTCACAAGTGGCAGTCAAGAGGGGTGAAATTCACTTGCCATTTGACACGCCCTTCGTCTACGCCGAAGTGAACGCGGACAAGCTCTTCTGGAAATACAGGGGCGCCAGCCAACCCATGAAGCTCCTCGGCCGCAAAACAGGAGGGTAAGAACAAAGTGCTTCTCTTGTTTTTCCTGTTTTTTCCCTGTTTCCGCAAAACAGGTGGGGTGAAATAATCACTATCCAAAATTTGAATTGCGAAAACGATACTTTTTCTCGCACAAGCGGTTACAGTTTAGTGTCCCAAGATTGGAACTGTGAGTTGTGGGTTCGAGGCAGGCAACAAGCTGTGAAACTCCTGTGATGTTCCGAAACAGCGACAGGCCTAATGGCCTAATCAACACTGACACCGCTATAATTATAATTATTTTTTATTTCTACCGTTTTGGTAGAGATTCAGCCATTCTGGCTAGAGCAGAAATGAGGTAAAAATGAATTTGATATTCTGATCGATTCCACTTGTTCACTTAGAAATATTCGAGGGGAATATTATGATTACCTTATATGAATACGATATTTTCTAGCTTTTTCCATACGCAAGCCACAAATCTTACCAGAAAAAAATTCATATTGACATTTGTAAATGAACGCTTCTTACTTTTGTTGTTTTTTCCTGACAGAGTCGGACTGAACCTGAGTACCAAAGCCGTGGGTCGCTACGTAAGAGAAGATATCACAGACCAATACAAACATAATGAAGGTATGTCATAGAATAAAATAATGAATTTTGGATGCTTTACGCTCCGTTGTCTTATCAACTGTGCCTCACTGCAGCAAATTTTGATCTTTATTGTATAATGCTCACTTTCTGAAATTTTTTGCATGTCTTGGCCAAAAGATTAAAAATGATTGTCTATATTACCAGTGTACTTCTACACCTCGTCTAAATTGGCCTGGCTTTCATTAAGTTATCTGATACATTATTATTTCTTTTATTTTGAATCTCGTTTACGTTTGCGTTAAACAGACTCGACCGAGGAACGCAACGTGATGCGTGACGCTCTACGCCGATGTGAGAACGTCTTCGCTCGCTATTACCTCAATGAAGAAATTGAGGACATTGAATTTGATTTACTGCTGCTCGACGATATCGTTATCGGGCAGCCCTTCACGTAAGTCGAAGCTCGTTGCACTTTCTGATCCATTTTAAATAAATAGAAATATTATATCCGCAAGTACAAAATAGGTTAAAAAAAGGCGACAGAGGAAAATTGATTTCTATAGTCCTCCAGCAACGTAAATCTTGCGGTGCAATTTACTTATATTAATAAAGGCGATCTTCTCAATGAGAAAATCACCGGAGGAAACAAAACTTGTTTCGAAATGGCCTCATGTAAACTCTAATTACAAAGAAATTTTGATTGATCTAATAATATTTGCTATTTCTATATTAACACAATAATTTTATTGCTATAACCGTTTTAGTGCAGGATAGGGGAATTACGTACTGTCTAGCATACCATTCATTGCATGTACCTACCTCTGAAATTGATATTTTTGAAATACAATGCAGAATTATTTAAATAATAACACATAAAGTTTCTGTTTGATAGTGCTGAGGAAAGTCTGAAAATTGCATGTACGATTCCGGAATGACGTACGTAGCTTTTTCTAGAAGTACAGTTCCTTTAATGACACTAACAATCCGTTATTTCATTTTCTCTCATATAGAATCAAATGCGAATAATGACTTCAAACTGACTTTATTAGCACAATACGATTTATTTATTACTACAGGTTAGCAATGCATTGCTCCTGAGGCTATATGTTGTATATAGCATGTATACACACGATGTATTACCAATGCTAGTTCATGGAGTAACCAGAGGGTGGAAATAAAGAACAATCTCTTAAGTGTGTCTATCTTCTGAAAGTGTACTGCATTAATGGTCATATATATGTGTCCATCTTCCATAAGTGTACTGCATTAATAGTTATACTTATGCAAATAACATATTTTGTTTCTTAAATATCAGAATATCCGTGGTGATTATGAACAAGTCTGATAAAGACCACGATGTATCGGTGGTGCTGAGAGCGGACTCTACACTGTACACAGGAGCCGTAAAGGAGCTCGTCAAGAAAGAAGAATTCAAGAGAACAATCAAGGCAAAATCTGGTGAGATTTACTGGCTTTCTTTCATGTTTTACTTTTAAATGTAAAGCATAAATGATTGTCCTCTCTTCACTTGGTCATTTTCTGAATTGATATTTACTTGGTCATTTTCTGAATTGACATTTGAATGATATAAACGGAAGAGCCAATCACCGCTAATTCTAATATTGCTGTCCGTGTCATTGTTGAATAAAATTGCTTAACTATAGCTCTTCGCAATATTTTATGTTGACTGTAACCGTTTACGTTATTATAGACCGTTCCATATTTTTTAAGCATGGCTATATATGCCGAGTCTGCCACTATTCGAGTTACCTCCAGGTATTGCAGCTGGAGGTAAATATACCAGCCTTCAGTTTCGGTTTGACAACTGAAACGCTCATTGAAGCTAGTGAAGTCCATTTTAAATGATAACGATGAAATAATAATTTGGGTTGTTTAGAAATATTTAAATGATATTTTGAGTGACGACAAGTGTTGAAGGAATTGTAGTGAGGTATTTATCGGCAGAGATTTATCGGCAGAGGAGACGAAAATTGAAGAAATCACGCTAGAGTAATCGCTCATAATCATTTAAACTGCGTCATACATGTATATAATAAACTGGAGCACCCATCATTATTCAACTGAGTTCAAATAATAACCCCTTCCGACAGAGGAGAAGGTGATCACGGAGGTCACGTTTGAAGAGTACTATAACAAGCTGGTGGATCAATGCGCCCTGAACGTCGCCTGCCTCGCGAAAGTCGACACTACGGACTTTGAATATTTCGCTCAGGACGACTTCAGGATGCGAAAACCTGATATCAAAATTACGGTGAATAATGCGAATTTGTTTTTGTTGTTCAGGCAGAACGATATTTATTGTTCACCAAAGTGTGTTTTTAAATATTTAGGGCTCCGCTTATGAAGTAAAATTAAGGTCGATGTCTCAATATAATGTAGGTGTATTCATTATGTTGGAGTTACGTAGGTACTTGTTTCTTTCTTAAACAAATGATACAGTACAATTATGCCTGCCTTCTCAACATACATTTTCAACATACATACATACATTTTTTACATATATTACATACATATAATGAAATTTTTTTCGAGGGAGACGTGTTATTAAAAAAACATTCAACCGTCGTGATGTAGGTTTCACGTAGTGAGCACAGCAGCTACACTCGATTTGGCATCTGAAACCTCATTCTAATCTAATCTCATGTTTTTTTTCAGGTTCTTTTCTAGTGTCTTGTAAAAATAAATTAAATTTTCAAACAATGTTTTTTTTATCTTAGTTTTTACTATTTTCATGTTATAAATATTAATGCAGTCATTTTTTTCGCAGCCGAAAACGCCATTCATGGTAGGTCAGCCGACGACATGCAAGCTGTCCTTCACCAACCCTCTTCCTATGGCCCTCACTAAGGCTGTCTTCTACGTCATCGCAACGAAGTGCGAGTCTCAGTTCATCAAAGTTAAAGAGTGAGTCTCTGGACCTTGAGAGTCTGAATAAAAATAATTGAGGTGGAATACCTCGTAACTAGGAGGAAAAGATTATATCATTTCAATAAAGTCAACTAATTTCAATTATCTCTGACTATTTTGCATGAAAGCTGATTTGCACCTAGTATCTCGCCAAAGTTTTCATATTCCTGTTTTGAAAAGTAGTTTAAGAATGTGTACTGTGAACTAGTTGTGCTACCCAAGTATCTCGTACTAAATACACTGTGAATTAGTAGTGGTACCCAAGTATCTCGCACTATGTACACTGTGAACTGCTACCCAAGTATCTCGCACTATGTACACTGTGAACTGGTGCCCAAGTATCTCGCACTATGTACACTGTGAACTGCCCAAGTATCTCGTACTAAGTACACTGTGAATTAGTAGTGGTACCCAAGTATCTCGCACTATGTGTACTGTGAACTGGTACACAAATATCTCGAACTAAGTACACTGTGAACTAGTAGTGGTACCCAAGTATCTGGCACTAAGTACTGATGTGCACCCAGGGACATCCCAGCGGGGGGCGAGGCCCAGTGTGAGGCGACACTGACCCCCAGCAACGCTGGAGAGATCACCGTCACCGCGAGCTTCCTCTCTAAACAACTCGAGGATGTGGACGGCTACCTCGCAGCTCAGGTACACATTCCTTTATATGCAGAGCTAAATTGTTCATCATTATTTATAACATAGTGATGTCGGCGCTGAAGTGTAGGCCCGATGAGGCCTGTCGCCGATTTGTGATTATTATTAGGCACAAAATAATATTCATCTAACGATAACGATTCAATTTCCTTATGAATCAGTTTATCTTCATCCTAACTACTTCAAAATTTTAGTATTTTCACTCGTTAGTCCAGTTTCGTATGAACTATGAACCTTCTATTTTGTCAATCAGTCTCCATGTTAAATAATTACAGTTACTGCTAGAAAACGTATTTTACATCATTTTCTGTTAAAATGAAGAAAACTTCTTGTTTAATGTATAACTATTTTATTTGTAAATTCTATGCTAAACTCTCGCATATTGTTGACCAATTTGTTATACTCGTGCCGTCCGATGTACGTGATTCAAGGCTTGGCGCTCAGAAATATGTATACTCGATCTATTGATCGACACTTCGAACTCACCCGCGAACGCGTTAGCGGATCCAAAAGCAAAACTTTAGGATATACGAAGCTCATTGGTCCCTAAATTCAGAACGGATCTTCCTGAAATTCAGACCATAACTAATTATCAGCAATGCGCGGCGGGAGGAATTACTACAGATTTTCACATCATTTTGTTTTCGATCAAATGAAATTTTATTTTACATAACTGTAGAGCTCATAAACCCTATAAAATGAAATTTTAAACATCGCTAATTGATAACAAGAAACTGCGGAAGGAATCGCTTCAAATTTGTACATATTTTTTCAGATTTGAATGAAATTTTCGAAAAATTCTGTTAGTTTAGATCAGTGGTTCCCAAACTTTTTTCAGGCTGGCGCCCCCTTTGGCTCCCTAGTGAATTTCTAGCGCCCCCCACAGACGTACGCCTCTTTCTTGAAATTTAGTACGCTGTAATTTTAAAAGAGAAAGGTTAAACACAAATGTGCATTTCACAAATAGAACCCCATTTAGTGAACCAATATGTTTTTCAGCTGTTTTAACTGTTTCAGCACTAGAAACCTAGGACGTCTCGGGCGAATTTACGGCCGGACTCGTGGCCGGTCTCACGACCAATCTCCAAATTCAATTATCAAGTAATATCTCCCAAACTAATGAACGCAGCTCTATGAAACTTGGAACATGTATTCATCAGAACCTAACGGTGATGTTTAGCTCGTAATTTTTTTTATTTTACCTTCATTCGTGAGTTACGCGTATATTGCGAAACGGGCCAAAATTCGCAGTGATCAAAGAATTTCTTCCAAACTATTGAACAGCTGATTTGAACGAATTTTTGATTATTCATTTTTAACTACCAAACGGTGATTTTTTATCTTATAACATTTTTTCGATTTTACCTTCGTTTGCGATTTTTTTCTTCATTTCACCGTCATCCTTGATTTCACACTTCCTTATATTCGGCCCGTATCGCTGGGTAATTTGTCACTTATATTCGCGGCGATCAAGAAATTTCTTCTAAACTACAGAACAAATTTCAACGAATCTTTCTATATAATTACCTAACGTTTCAACGGTGATGTTTAGCTCCTGACAATTTTTATTATTTTGCTTTCGTTTGCGAGTTCTGCAGATATAGGAGGAACGACCGGCTTTTCTACCGGCCGGTTTAACCAAGATACGTATACTTATAGCCGGATACTTATAGCCGTATAACTCGCAAACGAAGGCAAAACGAAAAAAATTGTAACGAAGCTAAACATCACTGTTGCTTAGGTTCGGTATTTTAATACTAAGTTACATTCAAATCTGTTCAGCAGTTTGGAAAAAAATTCTTGATTACTTTGAATTTAAATATTGCTGTTTAAATCACGAATGAAGGTAAAATAAAAAAAAAAAACTCGCGAACGAAGGCAAAATCGAAAAAATTTTCTCGAGCTAAACATTACCGTTCGGTAGTTAGGACTGCAATTTCAAAATTTCGTTCGAATCTGTTCAGTAGTTTGGAAGAAATTATACTTGATCACTGTGAATTTCGGCCCGTATTGCCAGATAACTATTTCAAAAACAAACGATGGCAAAATTCAAACAATTTTCACGAGCTAAACATTATTGTTAGGTCCTAATGAATACGTGTACTAAGTTTCATCGAGTTAAGTTCATTAGTTTGAGAGATATTCCTTGATCATTGAATTTGGAAATTGGCCGTGAGACCGGCCGCGAGTCCGGCCGTTAATTTGTCCGAGACGTAAAGCCAGGAGAGGTTAAAAAAAACAGATCTGGGTGACAAAACCATCGCTGGGAGTCATGATGTGCTGCACGTGTTGTTTACAAATCGTCAAACAAACGTTAGAACTTCTGACATCGACTTCGGACGACCGGCCCCCCCCTATCGCCCCCCTACCGCCCTCTTCTTCCTTACCGCCCCCAAAAATCTTTCCACCGCCCCTGAAGGGGCGATATCGCCCACTTTGGGAAAGGCTTCGTTTAATCGTAAATGCAGCACCGTAAAAGTTTGCAACGATCCCTAACGCAGATTCTTGCTATTAATTAGTTATATTTGAAACTGTGAGTTTGAGTCCGCTGAAGAGTTCGGAGAAGTGTCGACAAACTCCGAAATAATAGCTAGTGGTTTTGAGTTAATAATTGCGGTTTTATGAGTGCATATAACCGATACCTTCCACTGTTTAGGTTGATTTATTATTGTGTTTGTCATGGAAGGTGCACCGTGTCCCGAAGTTCGCACGTATTTCAGATCGTTTTTTTGCAGGTGTTGGATGAAAACGGCAAACCTGTAGCTGAGGAAAACGATGTAGAAGAGGACAAGAACGAGGCTGAAGATGCAGTTTAACGCATGATTCGGCAACAAGGTTTGAGTTCTACTTGTTCATGTGTGTTTGCTAAGGAAATACTGAATTCCGGCATATAAGGAATACAAGGAACTGGAATAATTCGGAATATAAGTAATTATATAAGTGCTGCGCTAGTTCAGGAATTGTCTTAAAGTAGACACATTCTAATATTTAGAATTAAAGTGAGAAAAATTGAACATGGACGCAATAATTCAAAAGAAGCGCATGGTGTTCTCACATTGGGTACGTTAGTTAGTGTTTGCATAGTCCCAAGCTGCGATAGGTCCTGAAAAATTGTGTATGTTGTTGATGCGGAATCTTTAGCTCCTCATTCAAAATCAAAGCTCGACTACCACCCGCCACTTAAGTGTTCTCTCTATGCAATATATTTCGCAAGTCGTTCCCTTCCCCCTTTGAAAATGGACGCGCCTGTGTCGGCACGACGTATTCGTGATTTTTACAATTTACGTTGATTAGCTTAACACAAGACTCACAGGGTCAGTGGTACTGGTATATTTATCAATACGTTTTCGAGAAAAAGTCGAAAAGAGTAACTGTTTGTTACTACAGTGTGACTGACACCGCTGAAGCAAGCATAAATGCTACACCACGTTTAACGATTTTGACACACGACTCATAACATAACATATAGTGATGTCGGCGCTGGAGTGTAGGCCTGATGTGGCCTGTCGCCGATTCTTTTCCTTTTCGTGCCTTGTTCACAGAAGATCTAATATCGTGTTATTTGCCCGGATCTTTTCATGACTGGTGCATTAAACCGCAGCTGCCACGTATCATCGTATCATATCTCTTACCGTCGGAACAAGACACCGCGACCGCGTTATATTCCAATAATATGTCGAAATTTAGAACTGTTAAGTAAGATGATTAATTATCTGATCAATCAATCTAAGTAACATGATTACTGATTGAATCAATCAGAATCCTGTACGCTTTAGTACACATTTTATACACCTTCGAACATTCATGTTGGAATTTAAGTACACAATAGCGATTAACAATAAATAGCGAAACTATTGCAAATACAATTAAAGAATTTGTACAGCTCCGTAAAATCACTTACATTAATACAATCATTCTAAATTTCGTACAATTGATTTTGTAATAAAATGTGCTGTTGCATTGCTATCAGTAACAATTAATATTTTTATTGTTCTTAATGCAATCAGACTAGCTAAGTCTTCACGTATGTTAAAGTTTTCAGTAACAACGTTTTATATTTTCGTAATCAGTTCTTAAATTTTAGATGATTATACATATTTTAATAAAATTTAGAACTTTAGCACGTATTATATTATTCGCTCAATCTGATTCAAGTTTGGAAAGAACACTTGTTCGATCAAGTCGGACTTGAGTTAAGCCCCGTCCACACGCTCAAACTTATCGTCAGTCTTGCATGTCATGCCAGGTTTGACGACAAGACAGAGCGTGTGGACGCTCAAAGTTTGAAGTCTTGCATGATGGGTGGGCGGAGTTTGAGGTTTGACAAACCTGGAGAAGACGGACGGGCGAGACCTTTGGGTTCATGCAAGACTGACGATAAGTTTGAGCGTGTGGACGGGCAACCAACTAATTGGTCAAACTTTTATCTCAGTCTATACTGGTGTTGAAGGCTGTGACATTGTTCTTCGATAGCTCTAGTTTTTCATATCTCAAGATATCCGACAGCACGTTGGTTTCATGATTTTTTTTGGTGAGCTTATCGAATTATATCGTAGTTCCTCTTGTTTGTGGTAAATTCAATCAAAAAGCTACAGTGAGAAGAACAAGAGAGCAAATTAATTGCCAAGTGCAAAGAAGTTGATCCTACAGCAAACAAAGACTTTGTAACGAAGAGAATAATCTCTTTATCGATAAGGAAGTGCCCAAATAAAGTCGTCAATGCTGTCTGGTGCAGATTGGGATGCTGTCTATCAACCCTCATTGTGGTATTTTTTAGAACCATGTTCGGGACCACCGAGTGCGTTTTTATCGCCATACCCTAATTATGGTGGCACAAACTGCGATCACTGCAGCGAGCAGCACTAGCTCCTCCATTGCCGAGAGCGCACAAGACTGAAGGAAAGTTTGAACGTGTGGTCGCTCGTCAGTCTTCTGTCTTGTCGGTCAAATTTTGGCCTGACATGCAAGACTTACGATGAGTTTGAGCGTGTGGACTGGGCTTTAACCAAGAAACTTGGCGTAAGCAAACTATATTGGAGATATTGATTAACAGGAAATGCTAATGTGTTAACACAGCATTAAGCGATCATAGAAAAAAAAATCAAGACATTCTCACGGCCGTGTTATGCACGGATCACGAGGGCATTACTGTCATTTTAAGATTGAATTTGCTGACACAACCGTTTTTCATCAACAAAAAAGAGGATTTATTCCTATTTGATTTCTGAAATGGGACGGCGGAAGCTTGCTTTAAGAAACAATTAAGTCATTCTCATTGACCATGAAAAAAAAAAATTCTAACCTCATCGCTGATGTTTATCATCAATTAGAAATTGAGTTTAGAAACCATTATGATATTATGATCTAACGAAGGTCGAAAGATCATCTAGTTTAATACGTTAGAATTTACCGATTTTACAACGTTTTAATATTCCATTACTATGTTTGTTTAACCTTACTGTTTAACATGAAAATGGTTGATATGAAATTGATAACATGAAATGGTCAATTCGATGATATATGCCAACTGAAAGTTGAAAGCTCATTTAAGCGCAACGCGAAAGCAGTACGATTTTTTTGTCGCAAGATCATGAATTAGTTTTGGTAAAGATTTTATAACTTACATAATTTTGCGTCAGCAAGCAAAATATGCAAAAAAGATTTCAACAAAGCGACAATGTAAATTCACAATCGTGCATAAAATTTAACTCGATTTACTCGCTTTCTATTGTATGAGAAAAGTTGCATTCCAACTTTTTGAATAGATACTCTGATTATTATAATGGCCCATGTAAAGGGTCATGACGTATTTTTGTCGCATATCGTTATTTGGCTATTAACAACAAATATTCCACGAACTTATATATTGAATCGAACTTGTTTTTTACTCGAACTTATCGATTATCGCGATTCATTATTTGAAAAAACGAGAGCTTTTCACTCATGAGTTGCATCGTGAGTTGGACTATGAGTCGCTTACTCAGGCTATGCATGGAAGTTAAACACACTTATAATTGAATTTCCTCGATCGTCGTAAGCACGTATGCTATAACATAGATTTTTCATTTAACATTTCGTCAACCACGCATCCGGATTTATCAATTAATCGGATTTATCATTGAATAATCGTTTTACGACGTTTCTTAAATAACATAGTCAATTTTACATTGATCATAGAATGCCATAGTTTGACTATTTAATTTATACAACATTCATTTTATGCTCTATTCTATATGTTGTAATTTTCTGAGCATCGAAATTTTTGTTGTAAATTTATAACGATGATAATTCATCTGAATAACAGTCTTCTGACATCTCATTGTCTGCATGCGTAATTGCGTGCAGTAGTCAAGCTATTATTTAATTACATCTTGTAATATTCTCTTAAAAGAATTATTAGTTTACAGTCTTTCATCATGAAACATCGTTACACTTTGTTACATTCAATACAATGATTGAATACGTGCAATCTTTGGTAGCGTAATAATAGCGTTCAACGTGATAGAGAGGTTCAGAGACTTTATTGCCCATTTTACTCTCTTTAAGAAAAATAATCACAGCACACATTAATATGTTTGTATCAATGGAATTCATATTTAAGGGATTTTATCCTGAATTCTATGACATTAAATGCAATAACGTGACTACGTTCCTTGAGAACGGTATTATTACCCTCGTGCAAGTAAGCANCTTAAGGTTGCTAGACCTTTTATAGGCTTCGCTTCCGCCCACTACTAAGGTCTTGATCGCGTGATCTATCACGTGTCTTCCAGATGTTGATTCGTCATCAATCTCTATCAGGTCAAGTGAATATTACGTCTCAATTACATACAATAATAATGATTATAATGAGACGCCAGATTTACACCGGACACCTCCCCTCTTCCCTGAAAGATCGTCCCGATCGTATGGAGACAAAATCAAAAATATCTTGTTCAAAATCTCCGATCAGATCGTATCTCAAACCTTAAGTATACAGGAATGAAGGTTGTATTGTAATTGATTAATATATAAGGATACAGTTCCTTCACAGTATGAAAAACCGGAGTATGGCCTTTTTGAAAGGAAAGAACAAGTCCACCTCCAACACAATTTGGAAGAAATCCCAACTGGGAAACTTGGAAATACCTCGTTGTATTTAATGCTACGTTCTCCCGTTCATCGGGTTCTTGTCCTTGTGACACATGAGCTGATTAATCTGTCTACTCAGCGCCTAAGGCAAGCTCTCAGTGACACCGTGGACTCATAGCTAACTAGGTCTACTTTGTTAGCAAAGTTATGATTATTAAATTCATACGCCATCAATGCGGTTGAAGGTTAGTTATAGTTCAGATTCCTCTCTATATATGACCTATCTTGATCATTCATTCCCTCTCCCTCTAGAGAAAATTGTTCCTTCAATTTCCATTGTAAAAAGTACACACTGGATACATCAGGTTACGGGAATACTATTAGAATCCACATCTTCGAATATAAAAATAATGAAAGCATCATAAATCTTGAATTAAGATTATAACGCAAAATAATAAGGATTACAGCGTTAACAGAGTAATGGAAACGATATAAATCATCGAATCTTCACCTTTAGAGAAACATTTTAAATTGACAATGAATAATTAGATCCACATACAAGGATTGATTCATTCGCTAACACCGAGCTACTTTAATTAGATAAATTAACTTGGTATGTAACATATTTAGAACACATTTATTATCGGCTAGCTTTCATCAAATCGCAGAGAAAATTGTTGGTACAAAAATTCTGCATGTTTCTCAAAATCAAATTTTTTATTATATGAACGTATCGTAAAAATCTATATTAGCATCGGTCTCTTTCATTGATTTTGTTACATAGCAAATGCAGATGCTAGCAAAACAAGACATTTTAACTCGAAGATTGCCAATATAATCGGGATGCTTGTTGATTTAGAAGTTAATAGCGATTAATCATCACTTTTGGATTGAAATGCACCTCACATTTCGAAGTGCAACAAACATCAATCTTCGTTTAGCGTGTAAGCGTTGCAAAATCCGCATTTACAGACAAATACGGTAATATGAGACTTTAAGAAAAATAAAGCATTCTGCGTCAACATGTTAATTTCAAACGTTTGAATGTTACATTTGAATGGTAAACACAGTAATTGTATCAAACCATTTGTCATTCGCAGCGCTGAATTCAAATACAATATAATATTTGAACAAACAAAATCTCATTAATATTAAACATCGTTCGAAAAGTGGCAAAATGAATATATGAGCAATTTAACAGTAAAGTTATTAAATTTTAACTTCGAATTTCTTTGAACGTTTAACTCATTGAGATGCAAATGAACTGCCAGTCTTCGACGGCTTTATCTACTCATGACTGTGCAATAAGCAATTGGTACAGTTTTATCTACTTTTAAAGATTAAATCTACCGTTTGAAATCGCATGAATATCTCAATACATCAATTCATTATACCTACTTTTAAAGTTAATGTAATTGAGTAGA